CGATGTCAGTGAGAGAGTAATTCGTTGCACGGCCTCTTTCTGCCTCTGTGCTCCGGGTGATGCCTGTGCACAATTTAATTTACTGCATGCTCGCCTTTTGCTGGCCCTTGCTTGGCCCTTTTTGCCTTCTTCTTCTGTGTGTTGCTTTGCCAAATTTTTGGAACATTGCGCTCGTTGCTCCAGCCGTGTGGCCACGTGTGGGGGTTGACGATGCGCAAATGTGCCCCCTGCGGTCTGGAGCGCGCATGTTCCCATTTTTAATGTGCTCATGCTTCACAAGCTTAGCTCCTCGGTGTAGTCAGTGTCTTCTGGAACTATGTTCCACGCTCTCCCTTTTAATTGCCGCGTTGGCTCGTCTCTTTCCGTTCTGCTCGGCTGGGGAAAGGTTTTTCGTTTGGTTCCGTGTTGTGTTGCTTCGTGGTCTGCCGCGTTGTGTCTTCGGTCCTTTCCTTTGTTTGGCTCATTTCACCAGCACTTTGTCCCTCTCGGTCTCACCCGTCTCACTTTCGATGATTGTATAGTCGTTCTCGTGACCGATGGCTTAATGCCCCAAGGCGCGCGCGTGACAAAAAAAGCAGAGCCCCAGCCTGGAGAGCCGCGTGGCGCCCGGAGTCATGGAGTACGCAGCCCAGCTCGCTGCTGCTGCTGCGCACGCTGTGGACCACCTCCGTGCTCGCGCCCACAGGCCCATGATCGCGTTCACGCTGAGCTTGGCCAGTGCTCCTGGTCCTCGGGCTCCAGCGCGCGCCGCAGCGTCGCCGCGTCCACGTGGCTCCGGAGATGCCAACACAATGTGGTCCCAGCGACCAGGTCAGCATCGCGGCCAGCGAACCTTCGGGTACCAGCCGGGCCCCACGTACGGCGCAAATTCAGGCAGGACTGCCTCGCGTCGCAGCCCAGGTCCGGACGCCGTCCACGGGCTGTCGTCGTAAGAACCCGAGGACGGAGTGCTCCAATGCGCCGGCCTTGACCATGCTCAAAGCCCAGAACCGCGTCATTGGGGCGGTAGGTGCCGTTGCTCAGCAGCCTCCGCGCTAGACGAAGTTCCCATGCCCCCCTTGTAGGCGAAGGCCTGAGAGAAGTCCGCGCCCGCGCCGTGCGGTGCGCAACATCGACATCGGCTTGCAAGTGGATCTTGGAGCCCGCGTCGTTGTCCCAAAAAGTCACAAACGCGCCCATGAGTTTCGTGAAGGCGCGCGCCACGGTGACGTGTGCTCCGCTGCTCCGTTCGGGACGCTGGACGCTGCGTGTGCACCATGGGGTAGCTGAACACCAGGGACCTTTCTAAGAGGAGCACGCGGTTGAAGGACTCTACCAGCGCAGAGTCCAGGACGACCTGGGAGGCCAGAACTCGGACGTTCTGGATCTCAAAGTTGGTGCTCAGGATCCCACGGAGTTGATGCGCGTCACTGCGGTCGAACACATCCCTCGCATGATCGCGGAAGCGGCGTGGTTGGTTGAGTCTCTGGTGACAGTGCGACGTCGGCCACCACGTCATGCTTCGACTTCTTTTTGGGTGGTCTTGTTTGGGTTTAAGCTAGGAGCAGTGCAACATGCCTTAACGCTTAGGGTTTTTTTTCCCTTCTTTTAGGGCATGTTGTGAGTGTACCTACGCGGTGGCCGTTTTGCTCCTAGCCTTGCTGTTTCATTTGAAAAACCCACCCACCCTGCACTGCCTTTTTCAAGGCTCTGCAATGAGAATTTGCAGTCTCCGGACCTCTCGGTCTCCGGACCGCTCATGGTCTCCAGCACTAGGTCTCCGGACCGGCGTGGGCACGCCTGCCACGCCATGCACGCACTGCACGCATTTGCAAGGACACGCATTGTCTTGTCTTTAAGTTTCACGGGGGGTCAACGCACCTCCTGTTCCAGGCGCATCCGTGCCCTGGAAGCAGTGCTACTTTCAGCAATCCCGGTAAAAAGAACTGCGGCCGCTTCGGACTTGCTTTGTTCTTTTGGGTGGTCTTGTTTGGGTTCAAGCTAGGAGCAGTGCAACATGCCTTAACTGGAGGTTTTCTATGCGCAATTGGTGCAGTTTCTTTGCAGCGGCAGCTGGCAAGTCGACATTGCGGCGGAGGGGGAGGGGGAGTGATGCCGAGGTGTCGGCTTGAGCTGCGACGTTTCTCGGGGGTGACGCGAGAAGAGGAAGGGCGTTCCCCTCAAGTCGCCATTGGTTACAACCCCACTTCTTGTAAGACAATCACCGGTCCGAGAGGGACAAAACTAAAGGAACCTTTCAGCTTGACAATTGACATTTTAGGCAAAACCACAAGGTCAAAGTTAAAACTGCTCGCTGCTGGGCAGAAGATTGGATAGTGTAGACCTGTTTGTCAGCGCGGGATCATGCTTAACCATGTGGAACGACCCGAGTGCCGCACAGCTTAAGACCGGGCTAAGCCAGTACGCCTAGCTGCCCGTTGGCTTTGACCGCTCCCATGATGCTGACTACCGGTGTTTTTGGCTACTTGCACACTGGCAGGGATGTGAAGGGCCTTGCAAAGCTGCTCGCTTCGGGGCAGAAGATCGGATAGTGTAGACTTGTTTGTCAGCGCTGGATCATGCTTAACCATGTGAGTCCGCTTTTGCGCCTCGTTGCCAATCGGGTGTGCTTGAACTGCGAAGTGCGACGTTTCCCGGAAGAGACGTCAAAAGAGGAAGTGGTCCCTATTAGTGGGTTACAACCCCACTTCTTGTAAGACAATCACCAGTTTGGGAAGGGGCAAAACCAAAGCAACACTTCAGGTTGACAGTCGACGTTTCAGGGAAAGCCACAAGGTCAAAGTTAAAGCTGCTCGCTTCGGGGCAGAAGGTCGGATAGTGTAGACTTGTTTGTCAGCGCTGGATCATGCTTAACCATGTGAGTCTGCTTTTGCGCCTCGTTGCCAATCGGGTGTGCTTGAACTGCGAAGTGCGACGTTTCCCGGAAGAGACGTCAAAAGAGGAAGTGGTCTCTGATTAGTGGGTTACAACCCCACTTCTTGTAAGACAATCACCAGTTTGGGAAGGGGCAAAACCAAAGCAACACTTCAGCTTGACAGTCGACATTTCAGGGAAAGCCACAAGGTCAAAGTGAAAGCTGCTCGCCGCTGGGCAGAAGATCGGATAGTGTAGACTTGTTTGTCAGCGCTGGATCATGCTTAACCACGTGGAACGACCTGAAGACCGGGGTAAACCAGGATTGGCTTTGACTGCTCCCATGATGCTGACTACCAGTGTCTTTGGTTACTTGCAGACAGGCAGGGGTTTCAAGGTCCCAGCTTGACCTGCGATCGACGTTTCGACAGAGGACCTGGCCTTTGATTCGTTGGGTTGTAACTTTGCACAAGATCGACTGAGCTGTGAGCTGTGCCCATGTGCCCTGGCGACACGGTTGTGGCAGATTGGGCCAGTTGCTCGCTCGGTGGCCTGCAAGGCCGTTGCGAGCTCAGGGCCTTGCCGGATCTCGTGCGTGGCATTTCCGAAGCCGATGGCGTGGCCTCCAGGTCTCGACAGCGGGTTTACACCAGGTCTCAAAACGGCACTGAGTTCGTTTGGGAACTTGCTGGTTGCTTCGTCGATTGCTAGGGCAATGAATTAGAATTAGCAAGGTCCGGGCGAAATGTTGTTGTGGTTTCGGCTGCAGAAAGGCAAAAAGAGACTCCAACAGTGAATATTGTACGGGATATGACAACATCAAAGGGTGATGGAAGTACTCCTTAGTTTTCATCACATGGAGTTTGACTCTCTCTCTCTCTCTCTCTCTCTCTCTCTCTCTCTCTCTCTCTCTTCTCTCTCTGTCTCAATCTCTCTCTCAGTCTCTCTCTCTCTCTCTCTCTTTCTCGCTCTGTCTCTCTCTCTCTCTCTCTCTCTCTCTCTTTCTTTCTTTCTTTCTTTCTTTCTTTCTTTCTTTCTTTCTTTCTTTCTTTCTTTCTTTCTTTCTCTCTTTCTCTCTTTCTCTCTTTCTCTCTCTCTCTCTCTCTCTCTCTCTCTCTCTCTCTCTCTGTCTTTCTCTCTTTCTCTCTTTCTCGGACGACCCAAGTTTTGCCCATGTCCTCTTGCAAAAACAAATATTTCCGGTTGTTGTTGATATCTATATATATATTTTTTCCTGCTCAGGGGTTGTATGGCTAGTCCGCTGAAGGGTCTCAGACGCTCTTCGCACCCATATGACGAAAGAGCGAGAACCACCGGGACCCAATGCAAGATGGGCTCGCCTAAAAACGGCGTGACCAAATATCGTTGAATCATTTCCACCTCCAGCACCTCCTGAAGGCACTCGGACCCTTAGAGCCTTTTTAACCTTTCTCAAGGAAAATGACAATTTCGCGGTCCAGCAAACAGTGACCCCCGTTTCAGGTACCTCAAGCGTCCGTAGTTCGCAGCTTTGCCATGTCTGGTGCAATCAGGATTAAAGTCCGCTGGGCGGTTTCAGGTTGCAGCCTGATTGACATTCAGGCGCAAGGCGGTGACACTGTGCGACAGCTTGAGCAGAAAGTCATTCCCAGAGTAGGTGCTGGGAATACGGTGAAGCTGCTGTTTGAAGGTCGTGTCCTCGCACCGCAGGAGCGGTTGCTTGCTGCTGGCTTGCGGAATGACTCAATACTGGATGTCATTTGCAGACAGAGCCAGGTCTTCACAGCTTCCACCGACACATCCATCAAGATGTGGGGAACAAGTCAAGGTGAATGCCAGGGGACTCTTCTAGGGCATGGCGGTGCCGTGACGTGCCTAGCTTTGTCAGCTGACAATCAACGACTTGTCTCTGGGTCAGAAGACTGCACTGCGCGGATTTGGGATCTTGAGTCCTTGCAATGCACCAGCATCTTGGCTGAACACTTTGATGCAATCCATGATGTTGCCTTTTCCCCCGATCAGAAGTTGGTAGTGACTGGAGGGGCAGACCGTGTGGCAATTCTTTGGAGTGCAGACGGCCAACCACAAGTCGCCTTGGAGGGGCACATCGGAGCCATCCAGGCGGTTGCTTTTTCGCCAGCAGGTGCCACCATTCTGACCGCCTCGCTAGATTGCAGTGTTCGCTACTGGAGCACTCGCACAGGGGTTTGTGTGATGGCAGTACATGCTCACGAGCGGGGTGTTTACTCAGGTTCCTTTTCATCAGACGGGACACTGGTGCTGACAAGCTCTGCAGACGGCTCTTTACGCGTGTGGAAAGCTGGGGTTGAAAAACCGCGGACAATTGCAGCACACTCCGGTTGTGTGTATGCAGTGGCCTTCTCGCCGAACGGCAGGCAAGCTATCTCATGTGGCTGGGACAGACAAGCAAAAATTTGGGACCTGGTCAGCGGCCGCTGCCTTCAAGTCTTGCGCGACACAGGGGCAATTTACTCTGCTTGCTTCTCGCAAGATGGAACAACGGTGCTGACAGCCGGCAAGGACTGCTCACCCAAAATTTGGTCAGTTTCTTCAGGCGAGCTCTTGTTGACGCTCCGGGGCCATGATGGTCCTGTGATGCGTGCGGCTTTCACGAATGCATGAGATCTCAATGAGTTGTAGGTTAATCTTGATCCAATCTGTTGTTTTATTGTCGGAAAACTAAATATAAAATAAATTCCATACTACTTGTTCTTCTCTTATTGTAAACATTTGTTTTGAATATGTCTTTGCTGGTATTGCATATTATGATTATATATATTCGTTTAATTTTGGGGAAAAAATAGCCGGATTATGCTACGATAACTCTAAGCAAATTTATTAAAACCCTTCCGAAATTTTAATAGAATTTGGGGCCGTATGAAAAAACGGGAATTTATCTTATGGAGAAAAGATCGGGATATATATAATCGCTCGTTGTAAGAAATATAATTTGATTGGAATTTTGTTATAATGACTTATTAACATATTACAAAACTAATTCTAAATAAATGTAATTAATTTCTCTTAATTATTTATTTGATTAGCTATTTAATAACCTAATGCTTTCCCTCTTTTCCTTCTTAAAATTACTAAAAAATCGAATTAAATTTATAAATTAATATATAAATATAATTAAAATATATATTATATTTGTGGGAAGATATGAAAGATAATTTATGTTTTTGAGTGGAACTTTTGGTGATATAATATTATTTTTATATAATTAATAATTTAAAACATAAAATGATTTTAGAAACTTATACTAAAAATAATAAACTATATTATTAAGGTAAACTCAATATAAAATATATAAAATATAATAATTTATATAATTATTAATAAAATAAATATAGATATATTTATATTTATTATATATAAGTAATAGAATATTTTATATATAAAAAATAAATAAATTCAATAATACTATATTTTAATATAATATTTAATATATTAATTAACTATATATATTAATATAATTATATTATAAAAAACAAAAGAAAAACCATATTTGTATTGGATTACATTTATTTTTTTATTTATATATATTATTAATTCTTAATTTTATTTATATATATATATAAATTTATTTTGAATTTATTTATAATCACAATGATTATAATTTGAATTTTATATTTATCTCAATATATATTTCAAAATTTAGAATAATTTTAGCATTTAATATACTACTAGCGGGGGCCCGCTGCTTTCCAGCAGCGTGCGAGATGAAACCCATGGCAAAAGAATAATAGAATTAGAACATAAAATTAAAAAAACCCATATTCCAATTATCAATCATAAATAGATATATACGATCATATTCACAGAAATAAGTAGACCGAATAAAATATAATTAATTATGATTTTTAGCCTTTGCCTTAGACCCTACCCAAGCAATACATTTCAAAAGATTACACACCACACTAAACTAAAAACCCAAATGTCTAAAATTAAATTATAAATAAAACTTATCAACAACACCTCCTAAAATATTACAATACAACAAACAATATCTTAAGTGCAAACAAAACCGAATTAATTTCGTTCTTAAGTACAAACAAAACCGAATTAATTTCATTTAAATTATAAAAAAAACGCCATTAATTACAAAAGAATATTTAAATACATAATATTTTCTACTCTCCAAAAAAAATATATATTCATAAATACATTCGTTATACAACAAACCATGTTAATACAATTTTAATTAATCTAAAATACCCTTTTATAACACCCCTTTTTCAAAGCCAAACCAAAAAAGACCTCAAAACAAAACATGTTAATTCCAATTTTAAAACAAATCATTCCACTCCTCTAAAATATTATTTCTAATTCCTCCATAAATTCAATTAAAACAAACCCATATAACACATCCAAAAACCAAATCAAAACAACGACCAAAAAATTTCCGGGCTTTATATCCCAATAATATATATCAATAATCTCTATTAATAAATTACTAAAATTTCCATTAATATATCTTAATTCTCTTAATAATCCTAAATTTTCTAAATTCATAAAGATTATTCTATATTATATCAATTTCACATACACAAACAAACAAAAACAAAAACGAAAGACAAAAATAAAACAAAAACAAACACACAGACACAAATACAAACACAAACACACAGACACAAATACAAACACAAACACACAGACACAAACACAAACACAAACACACAGACACCAACACCAAGACACACAAACACAAACACACAGACACAAACAAACACAGACAAGCACACACACACAAACACAAAAACACAAACACAAAAACACAGACACAGACACAAATACAGACACAAACACAGACACAAACACAAACACAGACAAACACAGACAGACAAACACAGACAGACACAGACAAACAGACACAGACAGACACAGACAGACAAACAGACACAGACAGACAGACACAGACAGACACAGACAGACAGACACAGACAAACACAGACAGACACAGACAGACAGACAGACAGACAGACAGACAGACGGACAGACAAAGAAACAGATACCAGAGACAGAGAGACCAACAGACAAAGAGACAGAGACAGACACCGATAGAGAGACAGAGACAAAAAGAGACACACCTCCGGCGCGCAGCACGCCGGATTCTGATGTCGACATGCCACAAGCTTTGCTTGCGCACGTGCGCGCGTCCGACTCCGAGCCCGAGCCGTGACGCAGACGGGCAAGAACGCGCGTGCGAGCTCTCGGCTGCGCGTGCCCCAGTTGCCCGCGGCTGCTGGCCGCTTGTCCCCTGGCGCCCCCCGCCGGTTTGTCACGCGCTTGTATCGGCGCTGCCCCGCGACTCTCCTTGCCCTCCACGACGGCTGTATTCTGGCCACGGAGGTGGTTGCAGGTTGTCGGCGGCCCTCTTTGAATTGGATACCCCGGGTTGTTGCCGGCCCGGGTAAATTGAGGCGGGTGCCAAAAAAGAAGCTCTCAGGGGCCAAGGTCTAGGCCGTGGTGGGTGTGTTAAGAATAGAATAAATCTTATAGAGCCCGCGTCGGCAAAACATTTTTTGCAACCCAGGCACCAACCCATTATATTATCCCATAGGTCGCGAGACGCACTGAGGGCCGGGCTGATCGTGATAAGGTCACGCCAAAGAGTCAGTGAAAGGCGGTCGCTTGAGTAAGGTGAGAACGGATCCGCGGGCTGTTGGCCTCAAAAGATCCATCCACCCACGTAGTTGTTGCAAACGTAAGCGAAAACACGATCGACTAGAAAACATCCTGGGTGTAAGCAAAGTCGAACTGATTTCGCCCAAAGCATTTAGCAAAACACCACTGATCGCAACAATCATAATTTCTCGCATCGCCAAACTCTCGGAAGATGTCAGCCAAAATTGCTACGGACAGGCAGATACATGCTCCGACTCTTTATCTGGAAAACACAATGGCTTTGTTCAATGCCCGGACCATTTTCCGAAATATCCCGGATATTTCGATAATTGCACTCCAGACCATTTTTTCCGAAAGATTCCGGATATTTCGACGATAACATTTCCCGAAATATTTGGAATATTTCGGGAAAATGGTTCCCGAAATACTCGGAATATTTCGAGCAAATGGTGGGTGGCTGCGATTTTCCCGAAATATCTGGAATATTTCGGGAAATTTGTCCCTATAAAAAATGAAGCCATTGCATCTTCCGGATTATGGCCGGGGAGCCCGGACAGATTTGGGTGAGCGGTCCGTAGGAAATATGAAGCGATTGCATCTTCCTGGGGCAGCCCGGACCAATTTTCCGAAATATCCGGGATTTTTCGGAAAAGCGGTCCGGGAAAACGCGCATAAGTGCGACGAACAAATTTCACGGTTTCGTTTTATAGAATCAATATATAAATAAATAAATATATTTAAGCTGGTATAATTTTAAAACTAATTATTGATTAAACATTTCTTCAATATCTATATTACCGGATACATAATTAAGAATAACACCACAAACTCGAATTTCGCCTAGATATTCTAGGCTAATACTACATAAAACTTTATAAATATTTAAATTAACAATACTAATATTATATTTTTGTAATTCAATTTAACAATTGTTAATATATATATATATATCCTTTAATTATTTTATTTAATTATTATTTTCAAAAATAATATATATAATAAATACATTTTTTTCTTATTAATTTTGTATATTATTTATTAATTTCTTATTTTCAATTCTTTATATAAACCAATATAATCTTTTCTTCTTCTTTTTTCTATACTAATTCTTATCGAATTAATATACTATATATCAATATCAATTTAATATAATATTAACATTTCTATATATATATATATTATTCAACAAAATATATATCAATAAAATAAATAAAAATCACAATACCACATTTATTTCATTTTTTTGGATAAACCTATATAAATTACTATATAAACTGTATTTTGATATTAATTTATTTATTGTTTTTCAAGATTTAAAAATCTAACATTATATGTTTTTTTTTTTAAAATTAAATCATACATTAATTAAATTATTAGTTTTAATATTAATTTTTAATTAAATAATATTTTATTAAATAAATTAATTTTATTTAAATAATTTATATGGTCTTTCAATATATTTATCAACCAAATAAATATCATTTAAATCAATATATAAATTCAATATAACCATATATATGATTATGGTCGGCAAGCCCGACCCCATTTAGAAAGAAAATATAATCGCTCGCCAACCCAAATACGACTCTCAAAACCTCAACCCTAACCGGAACTCACCAACAAACCGATAAAACGGGGGAGAGGCCTTTTGCAACATAATCAACTTAAACCCATCAAAAAACCCACTGAAAAACATAGAAATACTTTATACAAAATCAACAATACTTTTTTATAATTCGGAATCTATATACTACTAATACGCCTATACGAAGGCCTATACAAGCCTATACGACCTTATATTTTTGGTTTTAGAATCTAAATTATTATTTATTTATTTTTTATTTAAAATTTTAATTAAAGCTATTATAATTCATTTTAATATTTAAATTTAATATTTATTTAAGTAAATATTTATATAGGTATTTAAACATTAATTTATGTTCGTATAAGCATCCTATATAATACAAATAAAATTCCAATATCTATCTAAAAATCCAATTATAATATATATATATATATATACCCAAATACCTTAAAATCGGAGAAAAAAAAAACAACCCAATCAATCCACAAAAAATCATCAACCATAATACAACTTTCAAAACCTTAATCCAACCAAAACCCACCACAAAACAACAAAACTTTTACAAAATAACCATAATATACAAAATTAATAAACCAAATAAAACCCTATTTAAGGCCACCATAACCACAACAACAAAAGAATAAACATATAAATCAAACCTCTACCATATATATATTTATTCAATCAACCATATATAATTCTCTTTTTTAATCATCTATTTTCACTTTCTTCTATACTTATAAATCAATATACGTATATATATATATATATTAATTTTGTATAAATATATATATATATATTATTAATTTATATATATATATATATATTTATATCAATCAAACTAATCATAACTATTATTGTTTAAATTTATCTATATCCACACATTTTAAAATTTCAATATATACATATATATAAAATTCAATATTAAATACATTATCAATATTTATATTATTCAGATTTTTACTCAATATTTAACAATTGTTATTTATGTTATTTATATAAACATAAATAATAATTATTGTTATTTTTTAATATATAATATTAATAACACACCACTTATGCATAATGCTTATGCACCGTGCGATGGGCTGAATCCTGTCTATTTTCATCTATTTTCACCATCTGGCGAGCCAAAACCCTTGTCTTTGGCGGATCCGCCAGTGCGAGCAGACTGGCCAGGTGCCTTTACACGCTTTCGTCATGAACTGCATCAATTTCCAGCAATTCTGGAAGTGACAAGGACGCCGTTTTACGACGATGGATGTTGTAAAGCCAGTGTGCAAACAAGATGGATACATGACACATAATCATTTACTTTTGCTGCTGGGTGGTGTTCTTTGCGTTTCGTTTCGAACCGTCCAAAGGTTATCTAGTTTTAGGAAGCACCCAGTTCAATGGGTAGCACGATGAATCGGAAAGGCGGAGTCGCCATATTGTTCAGATCCAGTTCTAGTATGCCTCACAACCTAGAGGTCATAATTACCCGCTGTCCAGCACCAAAGTGGACACGAGGATGTTGGAAAAACCACAGGCAAGCAAGGCAGGCAGAAAGGCAGAATCAAACAAACAGAAAAGAAAGAAAAACAAACAAGCAAGCAAGCAAGTAAGAAAACAGGCAGGCAGGCAGGCAGGCAGACCGACAAACAACAAGCAAGCAAGCAAGCAAGCAAACAAAGAAACAAGCAAACAAACAAACAAACAAACAAACAAACAAACAAACAAACAAACCAACAAACCAACAAACCAACAAACCAACGAACCAACGAACCAACGAACGAACAAACAAACCAACAAACCAACAAACTAACAAACCAACAAACCAACAAACCAATAAACCAACCAACCAACCAACCAACAAACAAATAAACAAACAAACAGACACACACACACACATCACGGGGGCACACATGCCAGCGCAGCCACGCATACAAGTAACGGCACCCATACAAACTTCTGCAGTCAGCAAGGAACGAGCAAAGACTGCAAAACAAATAAGCTGAACTTCTACGCCACCCTGCGTTGAAACATGCGTCGGTTTCTTCGCTTCTGATGTGAAAGGCATGCATGCCAGTCCGCGAATATCTGGAATGTGGCGGCCAACGCTTGACGCGGCTCGCCAAAACTTGACAGCTGTCCTGATGACGTTGGCAGCTCTCAAGCAAAAAAAAAGGATGGTTGTCTCGCCCTGCCAGCTCATATCTCATGGATCTCTCATAGTAGCCACGTGCCCAAACATGCTTGCACATTCCTCAGCCAAAGCTCATGCAACTGGCAAGTAACACGCGTTTTCATTGCTAGGCGTTGTGCTCTCAGGAACTCTGACATCACGAGGGTCCACTATCACCGGCAAGAGCTTGCTTGAAGAAAAGCAAGACACAACTGTTACCAGAAACAAGCCGTTTCTTTGTGTCAGCCTGTTCTGCCAATTGGAATGAGATTCTAAACTCTCTCCTGTTAATTGAGCATTTGGACAAACAAGTTGGGATCAGAATCTTCGCCTTCACATCACTCTTGATACATCTGTGCTCCTCTTTCCAGCCTTTCTTTAGCACAGTTTGCTCCAAAATACGCAACATGCTCTATGGGAAGCATTTCTAAAATGGAGATATGCCATGCTGACATGCTCATTTTGTTTCATCACACCCTTTCGTCAGGCCCGCGCAAGCCGGGCATTGGTTCGTCTTCAATCTAGAGCCGATCGCCATACTTCACTATTCAATCCCACACCTCGGATTTGTACTCGTACCCTCCCACCAATAGAAAGTCTGCTTTCCTCTTGGAAACGGGCTTTGTGCACTTCCATGTTAGTTGGTGGGAGGGTATATGGCAAGAGCCAACATGTAAGATGCGAAGCGTCGTGTCTGGCAGTTCGATGGGCTCCGTTCGTCAAAATTTGGGACTCCATTTGGAGTGATACGACGCAGGAAAATGGAGCGTGGCTTCAACCTGAAGCTCGAGAGCGGTTACCTCAACGGATGTTCGGCTTTTGGGTTCTAACTCAGGATGAATAAGTTGATTCATAGGGGGTCCAACCCAGTTAAGAAAGCAGGATCACTTTTTGGTGGAACACTCCCCCATTGATCCAGCCTATGGATTAATCCATGGTCGAGGTTGCCCATGAGAAAACGTCTTGGAAAACGTCTGGGGCTGTTGTGAAACTTGACTGCCCTGCCTGGAAAACACGACAAGGAAGGGCTGTGTCATTCTCAGTCTTCAACGGCATGTCTCTACAATTGGATTGCTTGGAGGGTAGTGGAGAAGTCTGTGCGGCTTGCTGTACGGTCAAAGCCTCGGCGACAGCACTGGCTGCGTGAGCAACGGAAAATAATGCTTAGATTGTCCGGTGCTCGTAACAGTAGCTTGGACGCATGTCTTCCCCCTCAGAGCTGAGAGGGGATCAGCATTGACTGAAATACATTCAGCCGCACAAAATAAGGCTTTGTATGACAGAAATTGCAACGCAAATACCATGACTTCTGCGCCTCCGCCACAATTTGAGCCGTTGGCAACGGCTCAAATTAAGCACAGCTGACCCAAATCGATGGTGTCAATAACTGGCAGACTTCGTCAAAGTCCCATTGGGCTCGGTCCGGGCATGCCGAACCTCATCAAGAGGTCACACCAATTGGAACACCCTGGCACCTCAGCAATCGCCACTTTGTGGGGGAGTCTGGAGTCTTGGAGTCTCACAGTCTCTCGAAATGATGCGGGAAAAGGGCTAGAGCTGAGAGCAACCCAAATTTGAAGTGTTGACGAAACATTCAACATAATCTGACAACATGTTCTTCTGTGTAATCCAGATTTGATGAACTTTGCTTTGGTGTCGCTTTGAGACCGCCCAAATTCAAACAGGGGGCTAATTACCTTCACCAGAAAACAGACACGCTGTGTTGGCAAAGCCCAAATGTTGCGCATCGGACATGTCCAATGGGCTGTGGCTGCTATTCGCCGCAGAATGTCAGCCAAGACTTAGCCAAAGCTGACCGACTACGTGTCGAAGGCCAATATCGCAAAATCCTGGCGAAAACTGTCTCGGAGGCTCACTCAGCCTAATCGAGCAACCTCGCAACGCAAGGCACACATTTCAAGCACATGCGGCATTCCAAACACATGTATAAAATTGTATCAAAAACAACTAAGGACCCTTTGGTGGACATCTAATAGGTCACTTTTGTCAACTAGTCATTTCTGAAGGGTCTACCCTTGAAATTCAGAGCCTTTACAGCCATGTTTTGGCTCAGGAGTGGTCCTTTGACACACCTAGCCTGTGCCGGACGGCTCTGCTTGCACTTGTCCGGTCGGGTTCGTCTCTAAAGGAACCTTCAAACAAGTTTCTATGTTCCCAACCCACTAGGTGGTGCCACAGTGGTGCCACAGCAAACTTTCTTTTGTGAGCAACATGTCGCAATGGTCCATGAGGCCGTCCCCAGTCCCACGTTTGGCCAGGAGTCACTCGTCTCTATCCTGAACCAGTTGGTATGTGGTGTATCTCAGAATTTACTCAGTTGCCCAAAGGACCTGGAACTAAAAGGTTAACCTTTTGTGGCCATGACTAAATATGGACCAAAATGGGAAAATCAAAAGGTCAAAAGGTCGGCTTTGAACAACTGAGTTTATAAAGTGTTGTCCAACCCAACTCGTGGATTTGTCACGCCAGTCCCTCAGCCCCTCAGTCCCTCAGTCCCTCGCCTTAGAAGTTGGCAAGTTGCAGCTCGATCTGCGCGCATGGGATCACGCGATTCCTCCCATCCCTTTCTGCAAGTCCATCCAGTTGCCGCTAGACATTCACTCCATCACTTGATGAACGCAAGGATTTTCCACAAAACCCAAGAGCCTTTTCTGCACCCGGCGAGGTTCCTGGTATGTCCCTTTAACCATCAACCCCTCCGAAGAGAAACTGATGTTTGAACCACCCCTCCATTTGCTTAAGCCCCTCGAAAAAAAATACAAAAAAGTAAACAACAACATAAACAACATCTTTTCAATAGTGATAGATTCCCTTAAACCAACAAGGGAAACATACAACATGTTCTTAAGCAAAATGGGAACCACCTGAAAAGAGGCTTCCCCTAAATCGAGGCTTCTGGCCGGTCACCTCGGTTCGCCATGGGCAATCCGCCTCCACATCCTCCTCGTCGGAGAAGAGTCGGGGCTCCTGGCGACGAACTCATCCAGGCAGCCGGCCCAGGGTTCCACTTCTTGACTACCCCAAGACATGACTAGAGTTAGGGTCAGTTGTAGAATGTATATTTTACTGTTTGCTTCACTGGTAAAATGTATCTAAGTCTACTGCAGAAGATAGGCTTCAACCCAGGAATCGGTTCCCCGTTTGGGGGTAATGCCCCACCCCTGGGTTTAAGTCTACCCTGGGGTCAAAAAAAAAGGGACCTGGATCCTGCCATGGCTCACTTGAAAAGAATGGGCTGCGGGCCCCAGGTCCCTCAGCTTTTTCAGAATGCCAAGTCCAGGAGCTCAGGCACGACATGGCGCTTCAAGATGCCTAAAGGAGATGACTCGACACATCGCCCCATGTGCTCCATGGTCAGGGCCCTCCCGAAATGTCGTTGCCGGAAACCTAATCACAATTGGAGAGCATGGAGCTTTGATCATGGCCTGAGATCCTCATGGGCCAAATCGACAATTGGACTTGTCTCTAAATGGGCTAATCAGTAAAGCAGCAAAATTAGTGGTGTGCAATTTGGCTACCCTTCAAACCAACCCAAAGAGATCCTCAACATATACACGCTCATATTGGGACCTGGTGGGCATTTACATGGGATTGATGCGGACAATTTTGAAAGATGTTCCATAAAAATTGTAGCCATGCAGCCCACCGCCACGCCCATTTTTATTTGGGTTGCCGTCTCACGAGCGTGGCGCTACGTGACCCCTCCATAGAGTATTTGCAGTGCCCCTTTCCTCCCCGGCATGCAGTTACTTCGGGGGGATCTATCTACCTACCCTTTTGTAACAATCATGGAGGGCAGGGTGCTCATGAAACAAAATCTTCCAACACCCTCTCATCGTCAGCCTCCGCTGCTTACACCGCTACGATTCGCCCAACCCCGGTTCCGGCTCGCCTCGACTGGATCTTCCGCCTCAAACCAAACACTCGGACACCCTCCAGAGAGCTGCTGCACCCGGAGACCAATCGCAACTGTGCCGAAAAAGAGAAAGAGGAGGAGGAAGAAAGGGGGACGAAGAGCTGATCAACTGCCCTCTTCGGCAGTTCCAGTTGGAAAGGACTGGAACTCCGGCAGTCACCCACTTCCGAAACACGCCCGGTTTTGAGTTTCTGGTTCTCGGCTCCGGACATGTGGTGGAAGACCTGGAGAGCTGTCCGCTGGCCTGGCCATGAAGCAGATCCGTCAGGCATACCTTGCCATTGAAGTGCTCTACAACTTGTAGCCCGAATCCCCATGAGAATCAAACAGGTGGCCACGTCTATTTCTGGTTGGGGCTATCCCTCACAATCTTGCGCGACAGCAAATGGCTTCTAACAAATGGGTCCTTTTCGGATCACACATGCTTGTCCTTTGCTGCAAGCTGGAACTCATTTAACTCAAGTCGCCCTGAACTCTCTCTTCCGAGTGCAGGTTCGCTTGCCCGGTGCCTGTTTCGATTCACTTCCTCTTCCTCTTCCATCATGTCCACCTGGGTCGAATCCATGGAGGCCCCCCGCAGGCAATCTTCAGTGCATGAAATCTCTTTGTCCTGGCTGGTGCAAGCCTCGCACTTCATTTGAGCAGACCATACAACAAACCGCGCAAACTTGGATCGCCAACGTGGCGCATGTGCTCGGGGAGTTGCGCAATCCCCAAGAGGGCAAGTTGCACCCTTTTGCTTTTCGCATGCACAGATGCCGGATTCAAGTGGACAGAGACCATTACAAGGAAGGGCTGTGGTGCGGTTGACAACGCTTCGCGTCACTGCAAGACTCCAAGGAAGTTTAGCACGGCAAAGAGGATGAATAGACATCCTCCGCCGAAGGCAACGTATCGTTGCGGGATGCGCTTGCCGAGAAATTCTCCGCCGAACACAGCGAGGCTAGTACAAACCGTGTGCCCCACAATGGCCCCCACGATGACTGCTACCGGGTTCTGATGTGCAGCCAAGGAGATGGTGGCGATTTGAGACCGGTCGCCCCACTCTGCGAGAAAGGTGAGCATTAGGGCCTCCAGGAAAACGGGGGTGCAGAACTGCGAGAACATCCTGCGCACCCAGGACTTCTGTCCCTTTGAGGCCGAATCCTTCAAGGTGTTTTCCACCTCCTCGAACTCTTCATCCTTATCTTCCTCGCCGCGCATGCCAACATACATCAGCCGGAGCCCGAAGAAGGTGTACAAAACGGTGGCGCACTGGGTGACTCTTTCCTGGGAGATGAGGTTTGGAAGGACCACGCCCAAGAAGGCTGAGAGGACCGTCATGAAGTACAGGGCGCCCAAGGCCCCTGTGGAAATACCCAACCCAAAAAATCTGTAACATAGGTTGATTCCCTACTTGGTCACTTGGGGCACTCCCCTGGCACAGAGAAAGTTGCAAGCGTCCAAGCATGTCAGTGTAACAAAACACACCAGGTGGCTTCTGGTTGGTTTTAAGGGAAGCCAGCTGGAACGACGGGGTGGGTGTGCTTTTCTTCAGTGTAGCCTTCAGGTTAAAGGCGAAGCCAAATTTCAATTGGAAATCTATCGAAACCAATAGGTAGGTGGCCTTTTTCAGGTTGCTTTCAAGGGAAGCCCAGCTGGAAACCAAGGAAAACCAAAGCCACGCCACGCTGGCCTGAGAGCACCATAAACTTGGGATGTCTCATGGACATCACCGCCGCGATGATGAAGGTCTCGTCCCCCAGCTCCGTGGCCAAGATCATGAACAAAGACGAGGTCAAGCCTTCCTTGGGGATGGTTGGGTGGAGTTGGAGTGGAAAGGGGGGAATCCTTCCTCAGTTGGGGAAGAGGTTGGTTGGGTGGGGTGGAATTCTTCCTCAGTTGAAGAGGTTGGTTGGGTGGAGTTGGAGTGGAAAGGGGGGAATCCTTCCTCAGTTGGGGAAGAGGTTGGTTGGGTGGTCTTCCTCAGTTGAAGAGGTTGGTTGGGTGGAGTAGTTGAATCCTTCCTCAGTTGGGGAAGAGGTTGGTTGGGTGGAGTTGAAGAGGTTGGTTGGGTGGAGTTGGAGTGGAAAGGGGGGAATCCTTCCTCAGTTGGGGAAGAGGTTGGTTGGGTGGGGTGGAATTCTTCCTCAGTTGAAGAGGTTGGTTGGGTGGAGTTGGAGTGGAAAGGGGGGAATCCTTCCTCAGTTGGGGAAGAGGTTGGTTGGGTGGGGTGGAATTCTTCCTCAGTTGAAGAGGTTCGTTGGGTGGAGTTGGAGTGGAAAGGGGGGAATCCTTCCTCAGTTGGGGAAGAGGTTGGTTGGGTGGGGTGGAATTCTTCCTCAGTTGAAGAGGTTGGTTGGGTGGAGTTGGAGTGGAAAGGGGGGAATCCTTCCTCAGTTGGGGAAGAGGTTGGTTGGGTGGGGTGGAATTCTTCCTCAGTTGAAGAGGTTGGTTGGGTGGAGTTGGAGTGGAAAGGGGGGAATCCTTCCTCAGTTGGGGAAGAGGTTGGTTGGGTGGGGTGGAATTCTTCCTCAGTTGAAGAGGTTGGTTGGGTGGAGTTGGAGTGGAAAGGGGAATCCTTCCTCAGTTGGGGAAGAGGTTGGTTGGGTGGGGTGGAATTCTTCCTCAGTTGAAGAGGTTGGTTGGGTGGAGTTGGAGCGGAAAGGGGGGAATCCTTCCTCAGTTGGGAAAGAGGTTGGTTGGGTGCGGTGGAATCCTTCCTCAGTTGAAGAGGTTGGTTGGGTGGAGTTGCAGCGGAAAGGGGGGAATTCTTCGTCAGTTGGGGAAGAGGTTGGTTGGGTGGGGTGGAATCCTTCCTCAGTTGAAGAGATTGGCTGAGTAAAGTTTCCTTCCTCAGTTGGGGCAGAAGTTGGTTGGGTGGAGTTGGAGCGGATTTGGGTGGGGTCGGGGTGGGGGTTTGGTGTGGATTTTGGTTCCTTAGCAGTTGGACGTTGATCAACAGTTCCCTGGGACGTAGGATGACCAGCGGGCCGGGACAACCGCCAAGAGGATTTGATATGTTAACCACATGGGAAAAGTTTTATTCACGGTCACTTGGGGGCAAGGAATATTGAACCCCCAGTTCGGTAATCCCTTGCTAGAAACAACGAGCCGTTAGTCGGACTATGTCACAAATTCCTCCAAACTCAAAAACAAGCCAACTTCCTGGGTTTTGGCAAATGGGTTCCTTGTCGGATGCTACAGCAAGCTGGAACCCGTTTATTAGCACCCGTTGATCCCTTGCGACAAGGAAAACCTGTAGTGGGATATGTGGGTATTCTAGGGGTTGATTCCCCATTCTTCAAACACCGACACCATTTCCCAGGGGTTTTTGGCGGTTTTCTGGAAAGATCGGGATCCCTGCAAAGAATGGAATTGGAAGCTACCCCTAGAGTCTTTGGACAATTCTATCCACTGGCTGGGAAGTGGGGTGCACCATCCAATGCCGGGCGGAAGCCCTAGAGCTAACACCTAGAGCTATGCTTCCCGTTGATCCCTTGCGAGTGAAACCTGTGGTGGGACATGTCATAAATCCCTCCTCGGTTGCATTCTGCGAAGCCCTGCTAAAAGCTTAACGTTTAGTAGTCTAATACGGAAAACCCATTCGTTGGCAACAAGTTGTTCAGTCCTAACATCCCTTGGCAAAATGCACCAAAGCGCCTCCAAGGCATGAAAGAAGATATGCTATGGCTGGGAACCGCCAAGCTTCCCAGGGGTTCTTGGTCAGGTGCCAATCGAAGGACCAGGCACTGGCAGCGGCCACGTCATTGGAGAAGCTGTCCACTGAGATGCTGTTGACGCTGAAACCTGGCGCTTCTTTCATCCCAGCGTGCTCTAACGGTTTTATTCTATCTTGCTGTGGGTCAAAATTCAGCCACCAGGAGACCACAGGTTTTGGTCCAAGTTTCTGTTTACCAGGCTCCATTTTGGGTACCTACCGGGTTCACAGCGGGGTTTTCACGATTTTGACTTGTGCCATGGGTCAAAAGCCAAATCGTGCCCCCAGTGAACATCCCACTCCCCACTAAAATAGGTTCTAAAATGGGTGGTGTACCTACCCATAATGGTACCATTGGTTTTGACCACTTATATCTAGGTCCTCCAGTAGTTTGAGGTTAGAATAAGTTGGTACCCGATTATATATATATATATATATATATATATATATATGTAGTCTATCTTAGTAGGGGAACCCTCCCAACCAAAAAAGGGGTGAGAAAGGGCACTACTGCAAGACCTAGATATTTTGCTTCCAGCCGCCACTCAACGAAGACAACAAACAAAAAATCAAAAGCTTCAACCTTTGGTTCTGGACAAGCCAGGGAACCGCTGTTGTTCGCCACCGCGAGGAACTCACCAGGCATTCTTTTCTGTCTGAAGAGCCGATCCCTGGGCCAAAACCCGGGGATGAGAACTCCCACTATCCTTCTTGAGCCAGAATGACTCCGGCACGACTGACTCTTGCTCATCCCCACTTTGCTCAAGCCATTTCTCCACTTGCAAGATAATTCGGTCAGAGCAAAGAGGAACCGCGGAATTCCACGCGACCCCCAACTTGCATGTGTACGTGCTGGTGGCGAGCGACGGGACCGAAGGCAAGGGGGAGCAAGCATGGTCGGTCTCTTGGCTTCCCTTTGACAAAACCTACAGGGGTCTCTAGTTTGGGACCCTCCCGATCTTTGGGCTGTCCTGAGGAAATGAAGGTGAAGCCAACCATTTTCAGCCCCTCTCTCCATTTTTTTGCCGAGCGTCCATGTCATCTGGATTCCACTTGTGCAACATCTCCTGCGCAATATGCGGCCGCCAACTGATGGCACCCAGTGCCCGTTCTGAGGCCTGGATTTCCTTCAATAAATTTTCTTGAATGGGGGCACCCAAAACAGGGGCTTTGCCTTTGACTCTGCTTCAAAGCAACCCGGGGACCCGGCACACTGAAAAAACCAACCCACTCAGATCGGGCTCTACTTCCCCTTTGAACATCACCTCATTTCTTCCGCAGGCTCACCCCAGAAGTTCAACCCCAGAAGGCCAGATGTCAAAACCCAGATGCGGAAGCATAGATACCCAAATCTACAGGGCTCCTGAAGCCCCCGTGCCGAGTTAGAACACCATTGAAAGGCGATACCCCGGTTTCTCCTTTGAAGTGGTTTGGGGAGATTTGGTGTACCCCAGACTAACAAGCTGTGTATTGATCTGGGGAATTAGTGGGATTTTCTACTTTTGGAGTGGAGCACCCCCTCCAATACGAATATCAACAGGGGTTCAATAAAATCCGGGGTCAACATTCGTGATTTCCCTCGAGCTGGGTGCTCATCCACTTGCCGAAACGGGTGAGTCGTCCAACAGGCAAGACCCCAGATGGTTTTCGAAATGACTTCCTCTGCGCCTGGCCATTTGACAGAGGGCTGTGGTTGGTCATGGGCTTCTTTTTGGCCCCCTGAGGTTCGATTTGCTTTTGCACACATGGGCTTGTCCTGGATGCTTGTGAAGAAAAGCACAAACTGGACATGGAACCCTTTCGTCAGTCAAGGGAACTTCTTGAAACACTGACTTTCAGCCATTTTCACTGGCCTCAGCATCAAGTCAGCCCTCAGGCAGGCTCGCTGATTTTGTTTTCAACATGTCCACCATTTTTACGTGCACAGGGGCAAACATGAGCATGTAAGGTCATGATTTCACGGAAAACGGCAACAAATAGAAAGAAGATCTTTGCAGATTTGAAACTCACACATGTGGGTATGGGTCAAAGTTAAACCACCAGGAATTGGACCGCAGGTTTTGGTCCATGTTTCCACTTCCCAGGGCAACCCATTTTGGGGTTACCCTTTGTTTGACAACCACCGCCATGTGTTGCTGCACCCCCGCCCCAATCCACAGAAACGTTCCAGACGGGACGCGTCGGTTTCAGGGAGTGCCATTCTTGTGGTCGAGGCCGCCAAGAGCGCCGTGAGGCTTGCTGGGTCCAACGCGACATGCTTAAAATTACAACCTAAACCGTGGTTGTAAGTGAACTCCTTCCCGCCCGAATAACAACAACAACAACAACAGCAACAGCAGCAGCAGCAGCAGCAACAACAACAACAACCACAACCACAACCACAACCGCAACCGCAACCGCAACCGCAACAGCAACAGCAACAGCAACAGCAACAGCAACAGCAACAGCAACACCACCACCACCAATACCAACACCAACACCAACACCACCACCACCAACAAACATAATGATGAACATAGCAATAATAACAATAATAAGCATAATAATAACAACACTAATAATAAGAGTAATAATCATACATAAGTAATCAATTAATAAACATAATGATAACAACAATGATAATTAATAATTAATAATTACCACTACTACTACTAATAATAATAACAATCATAATACAAAATTATTAATAATAATAATACCGCCAGTAATACTACTCCTAGTACTACTACTACTACTACTAATAATAATAATACATAATTAATATTCTTAATTACTAATTTTAATAATACTAATACATAATTAATAATAATAATACCACCAGTAATACTACTGCTGCTACTACTAGTAATAATAATACTTAATAACTAATAATAATAAATACCTAATAATAATCATAGTATACACACACACCAAGAAACAAACAAACAAAGACCCCCTCAAAGTGACCCTGCTTCTTGGCTTCGAGTCCAGCCTCTGGGTCTGGCAGGTCCGCTGGGACCTCGGGGCGAGCACTCGTTACAATCACCGGATGGCGTCTCCTCTCACTAAGGGGCCTATGTTATCAAAGAGATAGGTTATAAGGGGTACATATCTATTGATTATAACAAGGGTCGTGTTGGGTACCTTAAAGTCATGGGAGAACGGTCGTGATGGGCCCTTTCAGTTTCTTTCGAGGGCTCGGAAAATGGTTCCTGTGGGTGCTGCCTTTCAGGAGTGGTGCACTCTGCTGATGTATTGCTGTACTCGGCAGGTTTGGCAGCTGTACGTGGTCGGCATTTGTCCTGTGTTTACTGGTGACAGAGCGTTTGCCGCGGCTTTCAAGTGCTAAGAGGCTGGCTATTTCTGTCTGGCCTTATATGGTGCAGTGGGTGGAAGTGGAAGGAAGTCTCATCAACTGACTCTTCCTGAACTGCGGGATATCCCACTTGCTTGGGGATAGCACTTTGGCTGCAGTCATTGGAGCAGTTGAACCTCATACGGGCTCGATGCTTGGCCATCGAGGCCAATGGTAGCGCTTTTTTTTTTTGGTTTCTTGGTTGGTCCACAGAACAGTCGAAACGGTCGAACAAGGTTGGTGAACTCCTTGGTTGTTGTTGTCCTTGGTTGTCCTTGGTTGTTGTTTCTATTAGTTTACTTTTTGTGGCTGGCCATGTATGTGCTAGGCACAAATCAATTACATGCGTTGACTGTGTGCGATGGTGGGGTCGGCATCCCAAACAACTGTCGCAGGCAAGTCACCTAAATCCGAACTCTTCCCGGCTTTTTGGACCCGGATGGAGGAAAACCCATGTGGCAATGTGGCATGGGCTTGACTTCAAAGTTTGAGAGTTACCCTCCCGCCAATTTACATGGAACCACACGTTTCGAGTCCTGTTTGGACCATGATAGGAGGGTACCTGTCTTGTGCATAGCTTATCCAGTTGCCATGGCGAATGCCGTGCAACCATAAAAAACCTTCGTAAGCATAGGTGGCCTTTCGGAAAAATAGATGGCCCTGGTAAACGGAAGAAACCCCGTCTAAACCAGGGCCCTCTATTTTTTGAGCAAACCAACCAAACAAGATACCTATGCCCATAACGCTAAAGCAACACAGCAAACCCCCGCTTTGGCTTTTGGCTTAGGACGCCAAATAAAACCAGCGATTTGGAGCGGCCTACCCAACGATATTTTCGGAACGAGGGGGTCTAGTCCGCCAGTTTCGCAGACTCAGGCCAACCCTGTGAATCATCGGTTGGCGTACTTGCAACACTCGGGGGCATTTGAGGGTGCTTTTCTGGAGATCAAAGCACAACACGCGTTGTCGGGTTCCCGTTTTGAGACACACCCATTTGCGGAATCCATCTTAAATATTTCTGCCCCTGATTGGCAGTTTGGATGTGTGGCTGGGGGGTTGGGGGTGGTGTGCTTTCAAGATCAACTGCCGCCTACAACTCCCCACATCACCAATCCAAACCACCAACTAACTGAGCTTAGTCTGTCCATAACAGCTTAACCTTTTGCGGTTTGGCTAAAATTATGAGCACACTTGCCGACAAAAGCTGAAAGGCACTCTTGGGTTGTTAATCATTATATTTCTGTAGACCCCCCCACCGGTCTTGCCATTTTGGTTGTCTAGAATAATTTGGCAGGCGCTTGTGTGTAAAGTCGACACTCTACTCTGTGGATACTGCCCGCAGTGCACAACAAATAACTTGTTGGTTGGTTGGTGGGAGAATACACATGTTCCCAAAAGTTCAAGGTTGAAAATCCAACGGCGAACAACAACAGGGAAGTCAAGCGTACCTCGAGCGATCGATCGCTTGTCGCTGTGCCCGCAACTGATGGCTCCTCCGAATCGAGTGTAGATGACCTCAGCGCAGAGCCGTGGTTTTGGCTGCAAAGTAGAGAGACGTCAACATCCATTCACCTGGAGGATTCATGATGGGGGGGATCCCTGATCCTAATCCGCAATCCGTACTATCTGGCATCAAGCTTAAGCATGATCTCATTTCGGAATTGCGAGTTGCAGCTTTCTTCCCGAGCCCGCGGCTGTTCAGCTTCGTGTTTATGCACAAACACCTCCAGGCTAAACGGTGTGGCGCAAAGTCGGCCGATAGCCCAGCATGAAAAATGGTACAGGCCGCCTCAGGTTGCGGTTGGGCCAACCTGCCCTGAAACCTGTAGGTTGTAGAAACTCGAAGAGCGAGGCACCCCTACCTTTTTTTCTTCCCGTTTCTTTTTCCGGCTACGCTTCGTTGGCACCAAACTCCTCCCAGGACATCTGGACCCCAAAGCATCCCCGACATCCCCGGCCTTGCGATGGGCTCCCTTTTATCTCACCTTCAACAACATCGTACATACTGTCCAAATCGCCCCTGACGGCCAGCATCCCCGGCATCCCCCACATCCTCGTCAGCTTCCCCAGCATCCCCAGCATTGCTGCATCAAGCAGCACCTGGGCTTGTTGAAAGTTTTCAAACTGGCGCTCTGGGAGTAGGTTTCGGCAGAAAGCGGACGTAGCGATGCTTGCGAGCTGGGTTCCTGCGAAAGTGGGCTGTTGTTGGGGGGATGCCTGGGAGTGGGCAGGAGTGGGCAGGAGGGTGGGTGGGTGGGTGGGCAAACCCGTGGTGGCGAAGCCCTAGGATTCAACTTAATCATCAACGCAGCATCAATTTCACCACACGGTCGTTCGGCCCAGCAGTCTCATGTCATTTCCCAAACGAACTCCTGCGCACATCTGACCCAGGACTCCTAGCGAAAACATCAAGTTACATCTGGAAAGGATCAAAAGGACGCCCTTTCCGCTATTTTTCGTGGAATCCCAAAGCCGGCGGCTCCACATCTTGTGATTTAACTGGACTTCCCCTGATTTCGCACTGCAAATGGCCATGGGTCAAAAGCCAAATCGTACCCCCCGTCAACATCCCAATCCACACTAAGATAGCTAAAATGGGTGGTGAATTCACCAATCCAAAATGGGATCCCATTGGTTTTGACCCACAGCCAGATGTGCCTTACGGACCCTGCCATGCTCGCCTCCGGAGGAAGGTCCGTGTTGTGGTCCTTGCTTCTTTCGGCTCAACAAGTCGGTCCGCCTTGTGGCTATGTGTCAAAATGGGCGCGGGGAACAATGGCAATCAATGATTTTGCAACGGTTTTCTTTGGGATCCCCCTTAATTGCCAACGAAAGGGGGGTATCCCATTGAATTTGGAGAACTCCTTGTGTCTTTTTGAGGAACCCAATGGCTGTCAACTGTCCGGCTGGCTGGAAGGTGGTCACCCAACAAACAGCTTGACAGCCCTTGTTGGGCCTACTTTTCCTTTGGGAGGACGGGTGGGAGGGTTCTCTTTCTTAGAAGAACACAAGAACTTGAACTGCCTGGTCCAAACGACACCCTCGGAAGGACGCGAGCGTTAGGTAAAAATGCCCCCCCCCCCCCCCCACAGAGAACAGAGAGGGGGTGCACACTACGAAGATAAGCCCTCGATTCCTTTTCGAGACCAAGCGAAGCCAGCTCCTTTCAGGAGCGGCGGCATGTGAGGTTGGTTCCTTTGCTTCGCTTCCAACACTTTGAGGATACCCGATTTCTCGTCAAGCACTAGCCCCATTCCCGGCTGGCGGTCCCAGGTGTAGTATTCCGCGGGCAACGCGGACATGTCCTGTCACAGTGTGCCACAACATTTACGCATGTGCCCAAATAGGCGCAATTCTTGGAACCATGTGAAAGGAAACTAAGAAGAGACCAACCCTTACCAGTTAACGTAGTCTTTCCTTTGACAAACAGCTAGTCGGTCAAGAAGAACTGAGTTCAAGCACACAAGCACAGCTGCAAGGTGATGACCAGGCCACACTTAACTGCTTCTTCCTGCGCCACAGACCCAGCATCAGCTCCGGACATGATGGACTTAACTTTCAGCGCCAAGTGCAGTCCTCTGGGAGGTTTGCAACACGATTGATCCTTGGCTGAGCAGTTGCTGCCTAGGCATGTCTTCAAGCTTTGAGTACATCTGGCCGGCATTTCAAACGGGTCTGCAACTCAAGGATTCGATGGCTCTCTCTCATCCCCAGCTCAGCTTTTGCCCCCGACCCAAACTATGCTGGATTCTGGTATAGTCTGGTTCATGTGCAAAATCTTAAAATGTGGACATGTCTTAACGAGCACACCTGCAGCAAAACCTTAAAATGTAGGATTGTCTTAAAGAGAAACCATCTGCAAACTACCGCACCCTCGCCTTTGCTTGAAATCACCCAAACCTCTGCCCGGTGGCTCATCCGCATCCTGCAAGAACATCTCCTGGACGAAAGCTTGCAACTGCTCAGAGAGAATCCTATCGCTTGGCAAGCACGAAGCACATGGGTATGTGGCTATGGGTCAAAACCCAAATCGTACCCCCAGTGAACATCCCAATCCCCACTAAAATAGGTTCTAAAATGGGTGGTGCACCTACCCCAAAATGGTACCGTTGGTGTTGACCCACGGCCATGGTGTCCTTTTTGGGAAAATAGATGGCCCTGGTAGTTGATTGAACCACCAGGTAAACTAGGGCCCTCTACTTTTCAACCGAATCAACCGAAAAGGACACCGATGTGGGTAACTGTGGGTATGTGTCACCCCCCCAAGAAAAAAAGCACAGTTTTCAAGTTTTCCCTTTGGTGTCCCGTTACCCCTAAAAAGCACATCGTGTAAAACGACGCTCTCAATGACCAATCAACCCCCAGTGGCCCAGAACAACTTGACATCGCTTTGATTCCACAATGCAAGCACTCGAGATACCTGACATATGAGTCACAATCAAAACCCGCAATTAAAATGGTCTACCCAGAACCATGTAAAGAATTTCGACGACAGCCGCAGCTATTTTTATGGCTGGGAGTATCCGTTACTAACCTTCATCTACCCGGTTCTGATTGTGGCTCATATGATCAGGAAGGCGGCGAACCTACAGCATCTATGCTTGCCAGCCACGCCTGATCCCTCTTGTTCCGCATCCTGCCAATGACCTGCGGCCCGTTCTCGGAGCATCCCCGTGACCCTTTTCCTTGAGAGGATTTGCCTGGTAAAGAACGTCTGATGCTTGAACGCTTCTTACCAAATAGGGCAAGCTCAAACATGACTCTTTGATTCCAGCACATAAGAGCACCCTAAGAATGGTTGAAGGAATGTGAGACATGGTGTCTTTTTGTTGAGGTAGCTTTTGATGGGGGTGTAGCAGATGGCCACCAACAACAAGCCCCCTCCAACTGTAGGAGAGCCCACAGAACAAAATCACAAAACCGGGTGGAATTCAGAGTGCCCATCCTTTTAAAGGGATTCCAAAAGGAAAACAAGACACAACAACTCACTTCAGTGGAAAAAACAACTTCTACCACCAAGTCCAGGTCACCAACAAAGCCAAGTCCAGGAACTCGCATGATCGTGCTACCCCATGTCTGGGGCATCTCCGACCCAGCTCCGACCCAGCCGCTCCGGGCCTTCCAGGCGCAGCACAGCCCAGCCTTAGGCTTCACTCAGCCCCCACTCACCCCACCCACCCTCACAAACAAAAAGAGAACAACCAAACACAGAAACAGCCAGAATGAAACAAAGGGTAGTCTTGGAAAGACAAAGACAAGAACAAGTGCGTAAGGTATCCTTAACAACAAACACTAAAAAGCAGGAAGAGATGGACAGACAGTTCTGTAGCTGGCAATGCAATTCGTTTCATGTGGAAGGCACTCACATTCTTATCCCTCGCTGGAAATCATATATCCCCGCGTGGTATGAATCATACTTCTCCTCCAAACCAGGGGACATGTATAAGAATATGGGAAACACACCAAAAGGACTTCAAGAGGACCCTTTTGTGTGTGTCCTCCAACAACCCAACCGAGGGGTACCCTGAAAAAACACGTCCAAGTGCCTCCCCCCCCGCAATTCTTTACATGAAATCATCCATTGGAGGAGTCTCTCTAGGTGCAACAAAATTCCCGAACACAAACTACCCCAAGCTTCACCAAACATGCCCAAAGCGACCCCATCCCCAAACGACATACCCCCCCTCCAAACAGGTGTTGCCGTTTCGAAACAATGACGAAGCTGGGGTCCCCCAAAGTGGAGCCCGGTTGCCGGTTGCGTTGCCGTTTCGAAACAATGAAACTGAAATGGCTTTCACTCAACAGAGTGATCACATCCGTGCCACACTGGCACACCCATAACAAAGCTGCATATTAAAGCTTTGGTTGTTGGCAAAAAGATACCCCCCAAAAAATACATGACATACGAACCTGCAAAAAACAAGCGGCTGCCCAACAAAGGCAAACACTCTCATCTGCCCCTAGGTGTCCTTTTAGAGAAATAGAAGAGCCCCGCTGTTAGACGCTTAGCACCAGAACAGAAGGCAGTGGAATCAATCATTTTAAACCAAAGTGACGCCAAACGGATTCATATTGTGGATGGACAAACACTTACACCACTTTGGAACCATGGGAAACCATTTGGTATTTGTAGGGGAACCAACATTCCGGGGCTTTTTAGGTGGTGCGAAATGGTTTTCGTCCATCCAAAGTAGGCCATTGGCTTTCTTTGGTCTCTTTTTGGTTTCGCATTGAATACTAACCACAACTGGGTTAACTAAGCAAAAGGGCGTGTATCCTGAGACGCTCCTCGTGACGCGACGCAGGAAGCATTGACTCTGCCAACAAAGTAACTCATCAATCTGTTTTAAAAGGAGAAACCCGACCCCCATATTTAAGTGGCCGTTTGGAGAGGATTGTAGTCGTCCGTAACCCAGTCCATTTCCAAGTCAAAAAAAAGAGGCCGCTGAAAAAAGGACGCCTCTGTCAGCACAAACACCTTCATCGCCCGACTTAAAGGGCTACCTCAAGCAGGACACACACCACCCGCAAAAACAAAAAAAACACAGGACCCGCTCCCATCATCTTTTTTGCTTTTAAGCCTGATTCTCGATCTTTATTCATTTGGGAACTTTCCTTAGAAGATCCCTCCCGGTTTCGGCGCGCATCGATGGCCGGGGCGCCACAAAGGCGCAGACGCCCGCCGCCAGCACTGCGCCCAGCATGCCCAGCAGCACGCTGCCCGTCTCAGGCGCCGGCTCCTGCACGGGAAGGCCGGGTGAACACGCCATGGTGCGGCGATGTCTGTCTTTTGTGGCTTTTGCGCCGAACATGTCATGACTTCAAGTGAGTCATAATCAAAACCTGGTATTAAAATGGTCTACCCAGAAACATGTAAATAATTCAGCAGGCGGCACTATTTATGGTTGGGATTGTCCCTTACAAACCTTCATCTACCAGGGTTTTGATTGTGGCTCAGGTGAACATGCCATGCTGCTGCTGCGATTTCTGTCTTTTGTGAAAACGCTGGGAAGACCCACACTGGAAGGCCAATCAACCCAGCTGGTTCTCTTGACCCAAAATGAAAACGGGGTAGATGAAGCTCAGGGGAGAGCCCCAACCAGAAATAGCTGCTGCTGCTGTGATATTTGCCTGCCACGGGTTTCGGGTGGACTACTTTAACACCTCAGTTTGATTATGGCTCAACTGGCCCCCAATCCAAGGGTTTGCCTTTCTGTTCAACTCGTCTGGGTCCCATTTCTTCCCCTTCCCATTTCTTCCCCTTTCCTGGAGGAAAACAACAAACAAAACACAGATTGCAGCACCTGTATTGCCATTTCGATGGTTCTCATTTACCCTCACATCCATGATTGGCAGACCCAAACTACTTGGATGACCAGCCCATGTGGCAAGGGGCATTTTCACCCCGTTAAGCCAGTACGTCCTTAATGATCGGCCCGCAAAGGAAAAGAGGAAAGGAATGGAGCTACTTACGTCGAGAGGGCCAGAAGGCATCAGCACCTGTCCTCCTGCTGCAAGGTGGAGTTGGTATCCTCGCCCCGGCGATTGGGGTCATTAAGGTCACTGGCACATGACGGCATCCCCACAATGGGGTCTGGTTGTCCTTTAGCTGACCTTTGAAAGAACTTAACCATGACGTCATCATCCTCAACAAAAACAACGCCCGCATGCAAAGCGTGAACTCGATACTGCAATCACACCTGCCACGAAAACATCAACACAAAGCTCACTCAGACTCCAGCACCCAGTTTCTTTGTAACCCACCATGTTTCCAGGCAGTGGTCACGACCATCAACACCGTGCCACCACCTTTGCACCGAAGTCGCTGTGCCACCTTTGCATGACCACTTTTGAATGGCCACCTTCGCCATGATGACAGCTTCAGTCCCGAGCGTGAGTTTCCCCAGCAAAAACATCCACAACTGGGCTATGCTATCTCAGCTTTTGACCCCAGCGAAAATTACATGTTTTGATTCTGGTCCATGATTAGTGACATATCAACAGACTCTGGTCCATGCATAGTCGAAAGATATCGCAGATTTCCCCTTTGTATATTCTGACATTGTCATGTTTCGGTTCGTCAACTTCCAAAGAGACCCCCTGCAACTCGCGCCCATGGCCTCCACAGCGATGTAGTTCACCGCCACTCGAGGGGTCTGAGCTCGTGTAGGGAGTAACTGGGGCTGTCTACAGAGACTTGCTTCTTTTGTAGTCAAATTTTGAGTTTGCCTCAGCCAATTTGATTTAGGGGGGACAAAAACTAAACATATCTTAAGAAGCCCGTGGAAAGGAGCCAATCGGGGGTTGCCCCTGTGGCATGGTCATGCGAACTCATTTCTTTTGTGATGCTTCCGGCCAATGTGCGCGAGGTAGGTGAAAGCAAATCGCACTCGCTTGCCGCTTGCCGCATCCTGGCCTCGGTGTGCTTGACCGACACTCCTTGCTCCTTCACAGCCTGGTGACAGAGCGAGTCAACTGAACCTATGCACCCGGCCTTCCTACGGGCGATCACGATCCACCCTACACACACACACACACGCAAGCAACAAAAACAAACAATCTGCGCGCACACACACACACAAGCAAAGCAAAGCAAAGCAAAGCAAAGCAAAGCAAAGCAAAGCAAAGCAAAGCAAAGCAAAAGCAAAGCAAGAAAACCCACCATCCATGCCTTCCTTGAACAGACCCAGACTTATCAAGCCAGTGCATGGCAATGACAGATCATAGGCCTCATAGGCCCCTTAGGTTTTCGAGTCAAGGGAGCCCAGGTCTGCGAGACTTGGCATCATTGTTCATTGAACAGATGCACTGCAGCTCTCAGCTCTCAGCTCTCAGCTTTTGTCACCTGTGCCAAGTTGGTGTCCAGCCAATTGGTCTCCCTTGAAACAACTAAGCCAAGACCATCGCCGGATCAAGAGTTGGGTCAAGCTCCGGGTAAGAACCGTGGGTTTGGGGCCAACCACTGTGTAAGTTCAACTGCTTGGGCTCCGTTTTTAGGACCAGAGCCTGGTGGTTTAATTACAAAGGAGCCGATTTCCCAAAGGAGCCTGTGATATCTTGATCCGCAGGGTTGCAAGCGAATGTTGCCCCACCCTCTCCCCCCTGTTGCAGGCATTTAGCCAAATACGCAACGCCAGGGGTTGGGCCAACCTCCAAATGGTTTCAGCACCCAGGCGGTTGATTCGGGTTTTGATCAAGCATGGCATGGCCATTGGTTGGAAAACCGCAAAAACATTTTGGTATTTCTCACATGGGCAAAGTTCTCCATGGTCAAAACTGGCCAGGAAGATCGATCAACCCCCATTTAACATGTTGAACACCCTCCACGAGTGATGATTCCCCACATTTCACCCAGGGACATCCCCCCCCCCAGCGAAGCCTCCCATTCAAACGGCGAAAACACCCCAAGTTGCGTCGCGAGCAACCCGCCGGTCTGATCAGATCGGCCTGGGCCGCCTCTGTGAGCACGGAGGCCGCTCCAGGATCCTCCGCAGCGGCGGCCTGAGAACGATCGGCGAGTCTAAACGCCGCTGCGGAGGACAAGCCCTGAGGGCCCCTGGAAGGTGAGGGAGTCCCAAAGACAAGCCCAAAGGGAGCCAAGGATGACCTTGAACTCTTGGATCCTCTAAGGTGCTTGGACTTGGGTGATTGGTAGCCTAGTAAGAGAGTCCCAAAGAATGACATTTCAATTGGAGACTCCAAAAGTGGCTTTAGTAACGGGTCAAAAGGGGGCCAAGCACCTTAAGATACCTACCTTTTGCGCCCAGTGTGGACTAGGTGTTACCGTTGCATGTTGAGACGCTTGACACAACTACGACCACACTCACCTATGCTATGCATGTGCTGGTGAATACGTTTGCACGGGCTATCACGCCGGATGCGGTGTTTTTTTCTTGAGGGCCCTGTTTTTAGGTGGTTGCAACGGGCAACCACGCAACACTCCCACCATCTTTGGAGCCCTAATTTCAAGACAGAGCAACCCCGCCCACTTGGAGTAATCAAAACCGATTGGCATCAACATGGTATGGGACTGTTCCTTACCCTTCTCATACGTGAGTCATAATCAACACCGGCATTAAATTGGTCTACCCAGAGCCATATAAAGCATTAAGAAGGCGGATATCCGCAGCTGTTTATGGTTGGGAGTCCCTAACCTTCATCTACCCGTGAGGACGTGGATCACGTGGGGTACAGCCGCAACAGGCCTCCAGGTTAGCACCCAGTGCGGCTGCAAAGGTCTGCTGCCTGGCAATGCCCGGAAGTCCGGCCAGCTCAACTTCCTAGGTATGCGCCAAAGAGTAGGGACTTGGACGACCCAACACAGGTGTGTTCCTTTTGGCGCCCCTTCAAGGTGAAAGAGAAGGGTACCCTAAATCACACAGCGGCGCATGCGTCCAGGTCATGGAGTCATGGCCCGGCTGCTCTGAAGCGGTATCTGATTATCCTCAAGCCCAAAGGCTCCATCCACACAGCTTTTGTTTTTCCCATTTTTGGACCCAAACGCAGATGGGCAGTCCGCTGTGCCTAAAATCCATTTTTTGCTGAATATCTCAGCCAAGGTTTAAGACGGGTCTTTTTGTTCGGACCATGGCACGTCCCTTGCTCATTTTGTGGAGCGAAGGAGAAATTCGTAAAACAAAACCTGGGATGCTGTCGCTGAGGTGTTTTCTTGGTGTAAGCACACTTGTACGTATGCGTGGGAGCACCGGAAGCACAACACGCATTCCCGCGCCGAAGAAGCTGCAAAGCACATTCCTTCACAAACATGGGCGCCCAGCACATTCTAGTGTCACCGGCACTGATTAGAACCAACCTGAAACCAGCGCCACATTGGCTGGCTTCCGACTACGACCGTCGCAACTTGGACCCCATCCAACCGCCTCATGTCGGCCTTTCCCACCCGCATCCTCAGCTGCGAGTCTGAGGCGGAGGCTCAGAAGAGTTGGAGCTGCCGAGGTTCTGGATCTTTTCTGAAAAGCCTCAGGACTCGAAATCGAAATGAGGCTCTGATGTGCAGCAGTCGAATTCGAAATGAGCTCAGATGGACTCGAAGTAGACATGAGGCCCTGATGTTTTTTGCAGCAGTCGAATTCGAAATGAGCTCAGATGGACTCATCCAGCCAGAGTTCACCCCGCGAAAGAAGGGATGAGTCAAGGACCTGCACTGCAGTGCATAGCCGCGTTGGCAAACATCTCATGCGATGGGAGAATGTCAATCCGAACTTGGAGATTCTCAGAGTCCTTGAAATCCATCCGTGCCTGTTCAAGCCGTTGGAATCACGCTGCATCTGAGTCTGTTCTAAAGGACATTCTGAACATGAGTGCTTCCATTTGGCCACCCGAACCATGACACATATTTCCAGCAGTTCCATTTCCCCGATGAAAACAGGAAGCAACACACAGCCCCGGGCCACATGCAAGGCTTCGCAGCTTCGCAGGTTTGACTGGGTGTCCAGCTGGTTGCCACAGACTCCTGCGCCGAGTGGTTTCCGCAAGAACACCATCCACATCCAAGCCAGTAAAATATGGCCATGGGTCAAAAGCCCAAATCGTACCAGTGAACATCCGATTCAATCCAACCACTAAAATTTGTTCTCAAATGGGTGGTGAATTCACCTACCCCAACCAAAATGGGATGCCACTGGTTTTGACAACCACAGCCATATGGACCGCGTAGAAACTCCAAGTGAAGAAAACCCTCTCAACTCCACATCCCGACAGCGAATTTGCTTCAGGCCTTTGGCCTTCAGAGCCAAACAAAAATCTGGGGCAAACTCCTGGTCCGAGTTGGTCCGAAGCTGGAAGTTCACGTTCACTTCGAAGTTGCCCTTGGCACATCGAAAAGCCGTTTTTGTGCCGCGGAAAAAACCAACCGCGTGGCTTGGAAGTCTGTCCGTCTCACCACAGAAACCGGAGACTGCTCCATGATCCGAACTCTGGATTTTCATAATCGCACGAAAAGTGCTGTGAATGGTGTCCTCTGTGGCTGACATGTGGCTTACCTTGATGCTTCTTTGAGAACTACTCTGCAACTCACATGTGAAGCCAGACAGCAAAGGAGCTCACGAAACACCCGCGCGTTAACAAAGGCAGAAAGCTGCGCCCATTTATGTTTGGACATATCCTCTGTTCTTACTTTCCGATATAACACGTGATAATTATCCCCTACTGTCTGATGTCGATAATCATGGTTCCGAAGCTCCCTACATGTTCCTGCAAAACACATAGCCCAAGGAAGCTCGCTTTCAATCGGCCCAACTGGTTGCCTAAAATCACACTTGGGGAACCTGTCCATATGCCTACCCCCGCTAGACTCACTTTACCCGCGGGGGAACAATCACCCTTTACAGGCAACCTTCCCCATGCAATCGCTCCCTGGGATGCCCGGCTGCCAACCGGCGTGCCGAATCGGACAAGCGCCGGCCGGCCTTGCTTGTCGAAAGCACGGCGCAGCGCCGGAGTTGTTGAAGTACCGAAACTAACAAGATCACGCTTACCTACACGCAAATATTGTTTTGTCTCTGAATAGGGGAATTCCCACATGGCGATTCACCTGTTTGTTTTCCCGCAAAACCAACCAAAAGGGATTCAACAGAACACTGTTAATACACAGGCGCGTTTGTGGATGGCATATACATAAATGAACCTGGGCATTTACTTAGCGGGCTCTGAAGCGCGGCCTGGGTCAATTCATCAACCTTTTGTTGGAGGAACCTCTTTTGGGTCGGCTTTTCTGCTGACAAACAAGAGGGCATCTTGGGGCCTACTTCATATTGAGACCAAACCCCACATGAAAACAACACAACACACTGGAAGCATCACTCTCACCTCACATACTCACGGCCCTCTTCAAGGGACCCCCGGGTCAGACTCTGTGGTTGGAGAAGCGGTTGATACTCGTAAAAATGATAGCTCTGGGCAAATGATAGCTCTGGAAGGGAATCTCCCAGTAACCGCCGTAGTCCGACCCTCTGCCGCGAAAATGCCGCGCAGTCTGCCAACAATCAAAGTCGCGCGCTTGGACTCCGGCCGCGACGGCTTCCAGAACCTGAATGGCCAGCACGATCACGTCCTGGTGTGGTGGGGAAAGGGGACAGTCTAAGGCGACTGGAATGGTTTCCTTGGATGCTGCAGTTGGCAAAACACCACGCCAGGATGATAAACTCGCATGTTAGGTAGCCCTTTTGGGGTTTGATTGGGGACCCTTTGCAGGACATTGTTGGGATTTGGTGGCCACAAAGCATTTTTGAGGGTCTTGCCCATCAAAGATCATAGCATTTTGACTTCCACCCCACACGCAGCCAGGAGAATTGCAGTCAAGGCAATGAGGGACTCACTCAATTTCCAACAAGAGGGACTCACGCAATTTCCAACAAGAGGGACTCACGCAATTTCCAACAAGAGGGACTCACGCAATTTCCAACAAGAGGGAAGCACTCAATTTCCAACAACAACCTTGGACTTACCCTTTATTGACAGTCAAGCATGTGCGAATCGGTCCTCTACATTCTGCACTCCCAAGCTGGCAGCCAGGGTGAGAGCATAGGCGCGCTTGGTGGACGGAGTGTCCATAGCGGCCTGGCGCTTCAAGTTTGGAGGCTTCTGATCTCCTCTTCGGGACCAAAAAACACAGTCGCCGCTTTTGGGTCATTCCAAGAGCTCAGTTGCCCAAAGGACCTGGAAATAAAAGGTGAACCTTTTGGCACCATGACTAAAAATGGGCCAAAACGAGAAACCCAAAAGGTTAAAAGGTTGGCTTTGGGCCACTGAGAGAGTCTGAAAAAAGGACCCGGTCTCCTGCCAAAGCCTGCCAAAGCCTGACCCTGGTTCCCTCCCTTTGGGCTTTCCCACAGCCACATGGAAACCAAGGAACTCGCGGTCAGTGCACTGCGGTTCCGTGGCCTCTGCTAGATCATCGAAGCAGAAAAAACAACCAGGTGAATCGCCCTCTATCGTGTTAACCAAACCAACCAAAAAGGACACCCTATGTGGGTGTGGCTCAAAATCAAACAGGAGGGGCCACGCAGGGTGTGGTCCATGTTTCCACTTACCAGGGTTCCATTGCGGTACCGGTTTTTTGAGCCACAGCCATGTGTCTGGGGCGGTGTTCCGTGGCACTTCCGTTTCCGTGGCTCGTCCGTGACTCGTCCCGCTGGCGCCTGCAGCTCCGCCTGGCTGGCGCCCTGAATCACGGGCAGCGCGAAGGCCACAGCGCTCTCCACCACCTTCACCGCCTGCGGTGAGCCGAGAGGGGCGGAGCGGGGGATGGGGGGGGGAAGGACTGGAGGTGGGGGGGGGGGGTTGGAAGACTGGAGGTGGGGTTGGAAGACTCGAGGTGGGTGGGGGGGGGGGGTTGGAAGACTGGAGGTGGGTGGGAGGGGTTGGAAGACTGGAGGTGGGGTTGGAAGACTGGAAGACTGGGTGGGTGGGGGGGGAAGACTGGGTGGGTGGGGGGTTGGAAGACTGGAGGTGGGGGGGGGTTGGAAGACTGGGTGGGTGGGGGGGAAGACTGGAGGTGGGTGGGGGGGGTTGGAAGACTGGAGGTGGGTGGGGGGGGTTGGAAGACTGGAGGTGGGTGGGGGGGGGTTGGAAGACTGGGTGGGTGGGGGGTTGGAAGACTGGAGGTGGGTGGGGGGGTTGGAAGACTGGAGGTGGGTGGGGGGGGTTGGAAGACTGGAGGTGGGTGGGGGGGTTGGAAGACTGGAGGTGGGGGGGGGGGTTGGAAGACTGGAGGTGGGTGGGGGGGGTTGGAAGACTGGACGTGGGTGGGGGGTTGGAAGAGTGGAGGTGGGTGGGGGGGGTTGGAAGACTGGAGGTGGGTGGGGGGTTGGAAGAGTGGAGGTGGGTGGGGGGGGTTGGAAGACTGGAGGTGGGGGTGGGGGGGAAGACAGGGGGAAGGCTGGAGCTGGGACCGGTGAAATGATCTGCTTTGGCATGCGAGAGGAGGATTCTTTTGCAATGAAACGAGAATTGGGATTAAAAGTGAGCCGAAGTGGTGCCTAGAGCTTGATTGTGGGGGGGGGGCTAGAAGGAGACCTGGCTCTTTTTCGTTTTTGACCCCGGAATCGAGCATTGCCAAATAGAAGCTCGGGTTTGGCAAAAAAAATGCGTCCGGCCAGCCGGAATCTCACGCGGCAGGGATGGGAGGGGGTTTGGAAATTGAGGGACCGCTGCTGAATGGATTCAAAGACTAACCAAGAGGAAAGCCAAACAGCTCGTGGCTGTTGTCATCCCCATCTGCTAGACTGGATGACCCAGCAAACAGGTCGCCGACCATGTACCCCTGGCAAAATACTATAAGATCCAAGCCAGAAATCAAGAACCCCATAGAACATGACCTTTATTGAGTTTTCACTCATTTTGCCCCCGAATCGGCGAGCTCGTCGAACAACATGAAATCCATGGATTCTACTTCGACGGCTTTTGCGCATTGAAACATCAGCCCCACTCTTTATAGGAGGTTGAACGCATAATGGCCATTTTTTGGTTGGTAGTCAAATGGACACCAACACGAAGCCAATCATTTGATGGGACCACTCTTTTGAGAAAACTCCTTATGGTCAACCATGGCTACGCACTAGTTAGCCGTCCCTCATGACAAAAGTCTTGGGATTCGATTGGAAGGCAGCAAGCCCTTTCAGATTCCCTTAGCTTCCAGCTTCGTAAGTGTGTTGCTGACCGCTGCACTTGGGTGAAAGTCGACCGTGGGTGTCACCCATTCAGAGTCTACCCAAATACATTACCACACACCTACCCAACCAACCAATCTTACAAACAACAAGACAACTATATTACATGCAATCAATAAGAACTGGATGTACCTACCTATATTCACTATGTTCATACAAATACAATCGCAGTACATAACACTGTGCATATCACAAATACACACACATGCATATGTACATATATATATATATATATAGATAGATAGATAGATAGATAGATAGATAGATAGATAGATAGATAGATAGATAGATGTTTATAGAAATGTATGGATACAACGGTAAGTCTCACAATAGGGGACCCTCAAACTGGTGGTTCCCCACATGCTCCTCTGTACCCCCCCCCCCCCACCCTGTACGTTGTTCCTCTGTAACCCCCCCCCCCTTCCCTCAAAAAAACAGAAAGCAAAGAGTAATCTCAAGCAAGACACCCTGTATTAATACCATCTATCCAATCCTCCCCTCAAAAGAACCAGACAAATCCGTAATCTCAAGAAAGACACCCTGCACGTACCAGTACCTGGAGTCTCCATGACCCTTTAAAAATGGGTCCATGACCCCATTCTTTTGGGTAATGACCCCATTTTTTAAGGGTCATGGAGATTCCAGGTATTTATACCATCTAGAAAGGCACCCTGTAGGCATACCTGTAGGCATACCGAAAGAAAAAAAAGAAGAAACAAAAAGGGCGTTCACCGCATGGCGAAAGCGTCAACTCGGCGCCTGGGCCACCTGCCCCTGCTGCACCACCGGGCTGCAGCTGGTGGCGTCGGTGAAGAGCACTGTGGCTTCGCAGCTGATGCCTCGAGAGGCTTTGACTTGGCTTTGCGAAAAAGTGCCACTTTGGGGCATGTATCAAAATCAGGGAACCACCCCAAAAAGGGTTTGAGGCATGTATCAAAATCAGGGAACCCCCCAAAAAAGGGTTTGAGGCATGTATCAAAATCAGGGAACCCCCCCCAAAAAGGGTTTGAGGCATGTATCAAAATCAGGGAACCCCCCCAAAAAGGGTTTGAGGCATGTATCAAAATCAGGGAACCCCCCCCAAAAAGGGTTTGAGGCATGTATCAAAATCAGGGAACCCCCCCAAAAAGGGTTTGAGGCATGTATCAAAATCAGGGAACCCCCCCAAAAAGGGTTTGAGGCATGTATCAAAATCAGGGAACCCCCCCCAAAAAGGGTTTGAGGCATGTATCAAAATCAGGGAACCCCCCCAAAAAGGCTTTGGGGCATGTATCAAAATCAGGGAACCCCCCCCAAAAAAAAAGAGGGTTTGAGGCATGTATCAAAATCAGGGAAACCCCCCAAAAAGGCTTTGAGGCATGTATGAAAATCAGGGAACCCTCCAAAAAGGCTTTGGGGCATGTATCAAAATCAGGGAACCCCTCGAAAAGGGTTTGAGGCATGTATCAAAATCAGGGAACCCCCCCAAAAAGGCTTTGGGGCATGTATCAAAATCAGGGAACCCTCCAAAAAGGCTTTGGGGTTCAGGGAACCCCCCCAAAAAGGGCTTGAGGCATGTATCAAAATCAGGGAACCCTCCAAAAAGGCTTTGGGGCATGTATCAAAATCAGGGAACCCCAATCAAAATGAGGGACTTTGGGGCATGTATCAAAATCAGGGAACCCTCCAAAAAGGCTTTGGGGCATGAATCAAAATCAGGGAACCCCCCAAAAAGGGTTTGAGGCATGTATCAAAATCAGGGAACCCTCCAAAAAGGCTTTGGGGCATGTATCAAAATCAGGGAACCCCCCAAAAAGGGTTTGAGGCATGTATCAAAATCAGGAAACCCTCCAAAAAGGCTTTGGGGCATGTATCAAAATCAGGGAACCCTCCAAAAAGGCTTTGGGGCATGTATCAAAATCAGGGAACCCTCCAAAAAGGCTTTGGGGCATGTATCAAAATCAGGGAACCAAAAAGGGTTTGAGGCATGTATCAAAATCAGGGAACCCTCCAAAAAGGCGTTGGGGCATGTATCAAAATCACGGGAACCCCTGCAAAAAGGGTTTGGGGCATGTATCAAAATCAGGGAACCCCCCAAAAAGGGTTTGAGGCATGTATCAAAATCAGGAAACCCTCCAAAAAGGCATTGGGGCATGTATCAAAATCAGGGAACCCTCCAAAAAGGCTTTGGGGCATGTATCAAAATCAGGGAACCCTCCAAAAAGGCTTTGGGGCATGTATCAAAATCAGGGAACCCCCCAAAAAGGGTTTGGCATGGATCAAAATCAGGGAACCCCCCAAAAAGGCTTTGGGGCATGTATCAAAATCAGGGAACCCCCCCAAAAAGGGTTTGAGGCATGTATCAAAATCAGGGAACCCCCCAAAAAGGCATTGAGGCATGTATCAAAATCAGGGAACCCCCCCAAAAAGGCTTTGAGGCATGTATCAAAATCAAGGAACCCTCCAAAAAGGCTTTGGGGTATGTATCAAAATCAGGGAACTCTCCAAAAAGGCTTTGGGGCATGGATCAAAATCAGGGAACCCCCCAAAAAGGCTTTGGGGCATGTATCAAAATCAGGGAACCCCTCAAAAAGGCTTTGGGGCATGTATCAAAATCAGGGAACCCCCCCAAAAAGGCTTTGGGGCATGTATCAAAATCAGGGAACCCCCAAAAAGGCTTTGAGGCATGCATCAAAATCAGGGAACCCCCCAAAAAAGGGCTTGAGGCATGTATCAAAATCCGGGAACCCCCCCCCCCCCCCCCAGAAGGCTTTGAGGCATGTATGAAAATGAGGGACCCCCCCCAAAAAGGCTTTGGGGCATGTATGAAAATGAGGGAACTCTCCAAAAAGGCTTTGGGGCATGTATAGAATATTAGGACCCCCCAAAAAGGCTTTGGGGCATGTATCAAAATCAGGGAACCCTCCAAAAAGGGTTTGGGGCATGGATCAAAATCAGGGAACCCCCCAAAAAGGGTTTGAGGCATGTATCAAAATCAGGGAACCCCCCAAAAAGGCTTTGGGGCATGTATCAAAATCAGGAACCCCCCCAAAAGGCTTTAAGGCATGTAGCAAAATCAGGGAACCCTCCAAAAAAAGGCTTTGGGGCATGTATCAAAATCAGGGACCCCCCCAAAAAGGCTTTGGGGCATGTATCAAAATCAGGGAACCCCCCAAAAAGGCTTTGGGGCATGTATCAAAATCAGGGAACCCACCAAAAAGGCTTTGAGGCATGTATCAAAATCAGGGAACCCTCCAAAAAGGCTTTGGGGCATGTATCAAAATCAGGGAACCCCCCAAAAAGGCATTGAGGCATGTATCAAAATCAGGGAACCCCCCCAAAAAGGGTTTGAGGCATGTATCAAAATCAGGGAACCCCCCCAAAAAGGGTTTGAGGCATGTATCAAAATCAGGGAACCCCCCCAAAAAGGGGTTTGAGGCATGTATCAAAATCAGGGAACCCTCCAAAAAGGCTTTGGGGCATGTATCAAAATCAGGGAACCCCCCAAAAAGGGTTTGGGGCATGGATCAAAATCAGGGAACCCCCCAAAAAGGGTTTGGGGCATGGATCAAAATCAGGGAACCCCCCAAAAAGGGTTTGAGGCATGTATGAAAATCAGGGAACCCCCAAAAAGGCTTTGAGGCATGTATCAAAATCAGGGACCCCCCCAAAAAGGCTTTGGGGCATGTATCAAAATCAGGGAACCCCCCAAAAAGGCTTTGGGGCATGTATCAAAATCAGGGAACCCACCAAAAAGGCTTTGAGGCATGTATCAAAATCAGGGAACCCCCCCAAAAAGGCTTTGAGGCATGTATCAAAATCAAGGAACCCTCCAAAAAGGCTTTGGGGTATGTATCAAAATCAGGGAACCCCCCCCCAAAAAGGGTTTGGGGCATGGATCAAAATCAGGGAACCCCCCAAAAAGGCTTTGGGGCATGTATCAAAATCAGGGAACCAAAAAGGGTTTGAGGCATGTATCAAAATCAGGGAACCCTCCAAAAAGGCTTTGGGGCATGTATCAAAATCAGGGAACCCTCCAAAAAGGCTTTGGGGCATGTATCAAAATCAGGGAACCCCCCAAAAAGGCTTTGAGGCATGTATCAAAATCAGGGAACCCCCCAAAAAAGCTTTGGGGCATGTATCAACATCAGGGAACCCCCCCCCCCCCCAGAAGGCTTTGAGGCATGTCTCAAAATCAGGGACCCCCCCAAAAAGGGGTTTGGGGCATGTATCAAAATCAGGGAACCGGCCAAAGGCTTTGAGGCATGTATCAAAATCAGGGAACCCCCCAAAAAGGGGTCTGGGGCATGTATCAAAATCTGGGAACCCCCCAAAAAGGGTTTGAGGCGGGTCAGGTCATCATGTGTCCCGCATTTTGACCCGGGAAGAATTCACACCCAGTTTTTCATTGGGAAGCCTCGTGGAAGAACGGAATTCCCAAACGGGCTGCCTTCACAATAACTGGGAGGATTCAGGGGTCGGAGTCCATTGACATGAGCCAATTGCCGACCCTAGTAGACAGGGTAACCATTCTTTGTTGGGTCGACGCGATTTTGAGTGAGAAACACCTACAAATAACGGGGTGCCGTTGAACAAATTGATTGAAACTTGAGTATCCTTTTTCAAGGCAAGCTGCCATTCTCGAGTTCCCATAGAAACAAACCCAGAGCTTCAATTTTGCTATTACGAAACAGTCAAACAATTAAAAAAGGCCGGTTCGGCCACGCGCCGCCATACCTTGTTTACGGGTCTTTCGGAGGCTTCGAAGCCAAAGGGAACCACCCATGGGTTCTAACTTTGAAACCCACAAGGAGGTTTCTCAAAGTGGACCCCTTCTGGTGGAAAACAAATGCAACCCCGTTCCAGAACGGGGGCCCAAATAGGGATGCGCCTGAGAACCAAACGAAACTCAACTTGAGGGCCTCCCCAATTTTTACTATGGGTTTGTCTGAAAATAAGGGAAACTTCACAATGAGTGGGGGTGTTTTCAGTTTCCCCCTCCAAAAACCCATGCAAAAAGGGCACCCTTCAGAAAAAACAGTTGACACACCTCACCCAGGGAGGGGTCTCCCGTCCACTTCTCAGCCCCGAGGGGCCCCGAGAGGAAAGGGCCCCCGGCTGAGTGCTCCCTCGTAGCCCCCGTCGAACTCGGAGCAGTTCTTCGACATCGCCTCGAAGCCTCAGCCAACCGCACGCCAACGAGGTGCTTGGGGACTCAAAAAGTACAATGCCCCTGACGAGTTCACGAATGGAACCCAACAAGGTACCGCAACAGGAGGAAAAACAACATGTGCTAAGTCTGTGGGTCTGGAAGTCTGCATTCCCATTTCGTTTCTAGGTGCTGTTTAGCCCCAAATGGGCGCGCCAAAGGGGATTCCTCTCTAAACATGATGGCTTCTTGGGGAAGTAACATCTGGTACCAAAGAAGCCTAACCAAACCCATGCAAAGAACCAAGATGGCCGCGGCACCTATCTATGATTGGGACTGTCGCCTGGTAACATACCGCGGCCGCGAAGAATTTGCGACAGTTTGCGACTGGATGCCCGAAACCAAGCGTGTTGGCCCGAGCCTTCCGGGCGCCGCACTTTGCATGTCGCTGGCAATGGCTGTGGATGAGATGGTAGTTCCGACCACAACTGTCGCGACCTGACCTGCGTTGTCAAGAGCCATTGGGCATAGTCCAAAGGCCTGCATGCCCGAAAGCCGAACCATTGACCCCCCCCAATCTGTTCTCACGAAATTTGTCAGGCGATTCTATGACACCGGGACAGAATTGGCACACGCGTACCACAAGGGAAACCGTTTCATCATCGTTCCCCAATCTATACATTGAGTGCGCAGGGTTGCTGATTCCGGGGCAACCAACGCCACTCCCACCCCTAGAACCTGCTTACAAGAGATTCTGGCGAATTACTCTCTTGACTGCGCACTCGTGTGCGGGCCTGCAGTGCAGATGCCTGGAGCACAGCCTGGGCAAGTAACTCACAAAGCAAGGGGCGAGACATGTGGATGTACCTAACATGAGGCCTTGGCTGCTCAAGATGAGGGCTTGGCCAAACTGGTCTTATAATTCCAATAAGCCACGTTTCGGAAAACCCCAAGGTCAGAATCAAGGATCGCCTTTTCATCATTGCAATGCTTGGCGGTTGTGGCTGCACAAGAAGAATTGGTAAGTGAGGATCTGCGCAAGGCCCCTTTTTTTCATGGGGCTACCCCTTTGGACCCTGCATGGAGACAACCCTTTTGTTGCTTAATTGCTCCCAACCTGCAGTAGCCCGTATTATCAATTTGTGTAATTCCTTTGTGGACAATCTGCGGCAACCTCAACTAGCCGGAGGTTGTTTCCGCTCGATTGGAACAGGATATCCGCACGTCTGGGAATCACTTGCCCTGGAAAACGCGATTCGCGCGGCGTGGCATCTGAAAGGCGCTTCCTGGAGGGGAATGCACGAAACCAATCCAACTATTGGAGGGCTGGAAGGCTTTGGAAGTTGTCTCTGGTGGGAAAGACAACGTTGTCCTTCCGCCATGTTCTTGGGACACGTTTGCCACATAAATTTCTTGATCTCTTCAGGTCTGGGGCTAACCATTTTGTTTGTCCAGCGTCATTTATTTTTCGTATCGAGCATGCTCCTGCGTTCCTCAGCTGCGCATCCCTGTTGAACAAGCACCACGTCTTTTGACGCTCGGCCCTCAGGCAGCAAAGCAACTGCACTAAGGATGCAAAAAAAGCGGAACCAGTCGTGAGGCTCACCGTGGAGTGCACAGTGAACTACTCCAAACCATTCCCTCTTTCCAGAAAATCTGACAAAAGGCTTTTTGGAAGACTGCGGTTCTCTTGCAAAGGCTGCCTGTCCCCTGTTATTTAGTCGGTGGTTTCCGGTTTCTTGGTTAAAGGGCACTATTCCAGCCCACCTTGGTGAGCTGCCAAAACAGATCCTGCCAAGTGTGCTGGACGCCCTTGAACTTCCCCTTCTCCGCATCTTGGCTCCCCAGCCAGCACTGTCAGGCACGAGCTCTGTGAAGTTGCACCTGGGCTGGTTCCTGCTTCTGGCAAACCGCAAGCACATCAGCAACAAGGATCCGCAAGCGGGGAGTGAGGAGGCTGCCAGTTGCCTCACTTGCGCCCTTTCAGACAATCCAACCCAACCAGCCCGCAAGGATCGCTTCTGTGCACAAGAAACCCCCAGAAGTGGCGAAAAAGAAACATATGAGGGGGAATTTCCACAAAGTTGTCCTTCAGATCCTGCCAAAAAGCGGAGGCTTGGGCACAGCTTTCGGAGCGAAGCAGTCTGGGAGTCCCGAAAGCCCAAAGCCGAGCAGCTCGGTGTAGAAGGTACCCGTCCAGCCGCCCATGATAGAGGCACATGACCTCGAGGGCTGGCGGCGGGGCAATCCGCATGCGAAAAAGGTGGGAGGGGGGGGTCGCAAAATAGTCCATTAGTTTCCTCTTAAAAGGGGGTTCGCAAGATGGTGCCCCAAAATGGTTGGTTTCCTTTTGGTGTCTCAACTACATACCAAACAGAAGGGGGGCATTTGGTGCCTGGTGAAGGGAACCACCAGGAGATCAAGGGCTTCGGTCTCAAATTCAGGGAATCCCGGAAACCAATTCGAACAATTCTTCTCTTGGCGGGTTAAAAGGTCTCAAATAAACCACGAGAAACGCCCCAAACGAAGATGCGGTTTGCACGTGAATCTGCAGGGCACTAAATGGGGCGCGAACCAACATAGGGAGACCCCACACAACTCGGTTGCTTTCTGCTCCCCTGCCAAAAGTGACTAACTTTCAGTGAGACGTGATCCGGAGAAGCTGGTTGAGAATGTGATTCGTGCGCGAATCACGAATCCCGAATCCCGAATCCCGAATCCCCCTATCATTGGCGAAGCCCGACGCTTTTCGTCGTTCTTGTTCAGTCGTGACCGAATCCCGAATCCCGAAAATGTGATTCGAGGCCCGAATCCCGAATCCCGAATCCCGAAAATGTGATTCGAGGCCCGAATCCTGAATCCCGAATCCCGAAAATGTCCCGAATCTCGAATCCCGAAAATGTGATTTGAGGCCCGAATCCCGAATCCTGAAAATGTGATTCGAGGCCCGAATCCCGAATCCCGAAAATGTGATTCGAGGCCCGAATCCCGAATCCCGAATCCCAAAAATGTGATTCGAGGCCCGCATCCCGAATCCCGAAAATGTGATTCGAGGCCCGAATCCCGAATCCCGAAAATGTCCCGAATCCGGAATCCCGAATCCCGAAAATGTGATTTGAGGCCCGAATCCCGAATCCTGAATCCCGAAAATGTGATTTAATCCCGAAATGCGATTAAATCCCGAATCACGAAATTGGCAGCGACCTCCAGATCGCCACTCCTTTTAGTGGTTTAATACGGAAAACCCAAATTCGTTGGCAAAAAGTTGTTCAGTCCCAACATCCCTTGGCAAACTGCGCCAAAGAAAAGTTTGCAGTCATGAAGCTGATTGAAACTTCAAGGTGAGGCGCTGCCAGCTCTCACATCCGCCCCGCCTGGAGGTGTTCCCGCCGTGGGGCAGGGATTGATCCTTGGTTCAGCGATCTTTTTTTTGGCCAGGTCCGAAGAATCGTCTGGGTCAATGCTATGCTCCGGTGTGTCTGAGGCATGAGCCACACGCACACAGCACTGGATCTGCACATAAACAAATGTGACGTGTTCAAATAGGTCAAGGGGAAGGCGCCCTAAACGCAGATGCACAGAGACACACAGAGACACACAGAGCACACAAAGACAAACAGAGCCAAACAAAGAGACACACACACACAGAGACACACACACAGACACAAACACACACATTTCAAAAACACTCAGACAAACACCCACCCACACACACACACACATTTCACTAACCTGACAACACACAAATCCTCCATGGGGGGGATCTCCATCACAGAACCTGACTGAGTTGGCCGTGGCATGCCTTGCAGCCTTAGGTCTGGCGCGTGCGAGCCACCTGTGGGACGCATGTTGAGCCCGTTCTTTTGGCCTGTGAAGCCCAAAACAGTCGCGAAGGCCCCCAAAGGCAATTGTTTCGAACCAGCAGAAAAGGAAGACACTGACTTCACTTGATCCTTGCGCTGAGTCCGGCACCACAGTCACCGTGATCTCCTGGCAATCTTGTGGCGAACGTGAGCCGATCGGGCCCATTCAGATCATAAAGGGTCATGAGCTCTTCATGGCTTTTCTTGCCATGGCTCTGAATCAGTATTGGAGTGATTGAAGGTTGGTCTGGCTACTGTAAACAGGTATCATACTCACTCAAGTGAGATTCCCCCCCCCAGACTAATTTCACATATCTCAAAGGAAGCGGGGACCTCAAACCCAAAAGCCCAGTGGGAAGGGCCAAGCAACGAGCTGACAAAACAAAAACGATGGGTTGCGCAAGTGGTGAAAAGGCCAAGAACACTTTGTCAGGCACAAACAAATCCATTGATTACCAACATGTGTTAACTCTTTCCATTGGCGTGTTTCCAACGACAAGCGAGGAAAATGGAACGCTTCCGTAGGTTTCTCCTGAAACCATCCAACAAGAGGGTGGATGCTTCTTGGCAGCCTTCCTTCGCGCAGCGTTTAAGAATCAAGAGTGCTTCTTCATACGATCATCTCTGGTTGGGACTGTCCCCCCAACCTTCAACAGCATTCTACCAGCAGCGGTTGTTTTTCACGTGCACCAAAACCAGGTTCTCCAGTAGAGAGGTTCGAATAAGGGTACCTTTTTTTCCTGTAGTCTATTTTAGTAGGGGAACCCTCCCAACCAAAAAAAGAACAGAAACGGACCCTGTGAGCGTTGGGTTTTTGCACACACCTAATTTTGCTGCATTCTGGCCAAAACCGAGGAAAAAAAAGGATTCTGGGACAATGTGCTGGTATCATGCAAACAGTTCTCCACCTTACCCCCCCCTTGCAGATGTCAGGCTCCTGTCCAAAACCGAAAAAAACATCGAGAAATCGAAAGATTCTGGGACAATGTGCTGGTATCATGCAAACAGTTCTCCACCTTACCCCCCCCTTGCAGATGTCAGGCTCCTGTCCAAAAACCGAAAAAAACATCGAGAAATCGAAAGATTTTGTCCAAAACCAAAAAAAACCTCGAGAAATCGAAAAAAAAAAAAAACAAAGATTCTGGGACAATGTGCTGGTATCATGTAAACATTCTGTTGGCCAGATTGGTTTTTTTGGTTTTTTTCGATTTCTCGAGGTTTCTTTCGGTTTTGGACAAAATCTTTCGATTTCTCGATGTTTTTTTTGATTTTGGATGGTTTCTTTCGAATTCTCAATGTTTTTTTTGATTTTGGACACCTTCTTTTGATTTCTCGATGTTTCTAAGGCTGCCTGCAGCAAAAGCTTCAACACAGGACAGCTTTGCAAGAAAGAGCTTCTTCAGGTGACAGCAAGCCCGACAGAGTCCTTAGCTTCCAGCCAGCTTGCACCCAGCCCCAGCCCAGCTAGCTTAGAGAAGAAACAGTTCAGCGTAAAGAAGTTTTTTGGAACACCAGAGCAGCAAGCCAAGGAGATAGAGCCTGTGCTATCTAACAGGGTAGTTCCATACCAGAGGCAGCAGCAGAGCAAGCTGCAGAAAGAAGCTGCACTAGTGAAGTCAGCTTACCCCCAGAAGCTAGCAGAGCTGGAGAAAGAAGACCCAAAAGAAGCTGTAACAGGCAGACAAGGTGGCAGGCCTCCAGTTCTGGAAGAGCGTAGAGGAACTGCAGGTGGGCAGTTAAGCAACAGGAAGAAGGAGACAGATCCTTCCAGGAAGCAAGAGCTTTTTGCCTTTCAGAACATGAAGCTTAGTGAAGAGATTCAGATGATTCTGGAAGAGTCTCAGCCTCAGAAGCAGAAGCTTGGGCAGTTGCAAGGAGAAAGTTCAAGATGAGCACACAGAGGCTGGAAGATTGCAGAAGAGGTTTGCCAGAGCAGCTAGTGGAGGGAGAAAGAGAGAGTTTAGCAGAGAGGTCTCTCAACTTGGCAAGTGGTTGCAGAAAGAAAGGAGTTATAGCCACAACGTTTCAAAGAATGAGCTGCTGAAAGAGTTCTTTGCCCTTCTGGTTGCAAGGGCAGAGAGATGCATGGTCAGGGCAGAGCTTTGCAGAAATGAGATGCAAAGGAAAGCTTGGCTGAAAGAAGCTGACTGTGCCCTGCAGAGAAAGACCAAGCTCCAGCAGAGCTCAAAGTATGCAGCTTCTTATGTAGAGAAGCTGATCCAATGGCTAGGTGCAGCTTACTTGAGCAAAGATGAGACTACTCGCCTGGCACCAGTTGAAGAACAGGCGCGGGCCCAGCTCACCTTCCAGGATATTGACAGAAAGCTCTGGCATCTAGGCGCTTGCTCCAGTTGCTGAGATTGAAGATGCACATTTGGTTGCAAATGCAGAGATGATAGTTAAGAAACGATCCTCACTGGTAATCGGCACGAGTGATCAAGTCCCACTTTGGGCCAAAGATCCAAGCAAGAAGTTGGTCCTCTCTGCAGATGAGCTCAAAGGTGCCAGTTGGGACGACAGAAAGAGGTGGACTGAGATCAGGTAGGAGCTGCAAGCTGCTTAAGTTCAGGCAGATGTAGGAGCAGGGCCTCTCAAAGTTGCAGGTAATAAGGTGGTGACAGGACAAAGTTCAGATGAAAAGTTTCGTTTAACATACGAAGCTTGCCAGACGATTTACAACATAGGAGCTCCAGCAGGAACAGCTCTGCAAGGCGACTACTGCGGCGCAAGGTCGGCATAGGTAGCCATCCACGATCTCCTTGAGATCCTCATAGGTCATGTCTTCTGCTGCAAGAGGGTGGGACGACTCAGTGCAGGATGCAGATGGATGAGATGCTTTCTAGCTGGCCAAAGTTGCAGCGCAGATCGCGGTCAGAGGATATATACACACATAACTGCACACAACTCCCCAATTCGGAAAAACACTCGTTTCACATGGAAAAATACCCACGCTGAGGGGGTCCCCCTCTCAAAAAGAAACGGCAAAAGGGCAGCTAGCTGGGGGACCTAGAAAACCCCACTGTCCCAAACCGCAGTCGTTGGGAGCTACGGCCGTAGAAGCGCGGAAGCTCGGCCCTGCTGCCCATGGGTGTCTTCATCGAGCCGCCGCCGCAGCCTGCCAGCTGGCAGCAGATGCCCGGCTGCGCAGGGAGCTACCTTTTGACTACCCCCAAAAGAGTTAAAGCAAAACCCCTGGGTTTAAGTCTACCTTGGGGTAGTCAAACAGTAGAATCCTGCGGCTGCGGGTTGTGTGGATGGCGCTGCAAGGGAAATCAGAAGGAAACCCGAGACGCGAGGCGTGACTCCGCTTGCCTTTTTTTTAATAACCGGTGATAGGGAGGTCCACCCCTCCCATTCTGCAGGGGAAATTTCAAATTGGGATGCAAAAAGAGCAACATTCAGAATCCAGCCCTCCCCCCAAGGCAGCTTTTCGCGGTTTTGGACCTGGGACACATCTGTCCTTGGAGAGTGCTGGATGGTCCAATTCCTAATTGTGGGAGCTGTTTCACCTAGGCTTAAAGTATGATGCCTCTTGAAGAAATAACCTGGATCGCCAGTTGCGATCGCTTTTTTCCATCCACTTTACCATCCAAAAACCAGCAACAGTGACTGACAAAAACGATCGCAACTTGGCTAACCCCTTGGGCCAGATGCCGCGCCGGCCTCGAGCGGTGCAGGCCGAGTCCAATGTGTAGACCTCAGACGTCGCGCACTGCAGCCTGTTCGTACCCGGCTCCCTTGCCAAGCCACTGACATGGTATCGTTTTCGATATTGTCGTCAAAATAGCTGTGAACTACAAAGGCCCATGTTTTTTTCCTGGTATAACTCAGTGCTGATTACATGCCCGTTTGGAGACACACCAGCCAGCCAAGGGTTACGAGGGACGCACATTTCATCCCCAGAATCAGGTTCCAGTGACCTGGGGGAGTTCCTTTAGGCCATGCGGCCTGCCGCACGCCTCTGTGCCCAAGGCGAGGCAGCGAGTCACACCGTCCTTAGCCTCCGGCACCCTTGTAGCACACCACGCCTCGGGGAAATGAATCCCAGGTCGTCAGCCCAAGGCTCCCAGCCGAAAGGAGATTCCTCTGGCAATGATGGCTTTTGAGCAGGGCTGTGGGGAATGGAATCCACGAATCTGTGATACAGAAAAAGCTTCCCAAAGACTATTTTGCTCATATAAGGGGGGATTCCCAAAAGTATCACAGAAGTGGGGAGACCCCTTGATCCCACAACTCTGTTTTTCAGTTCCATCGTAAACTGCAGATGCAATACCTGGGCTCCACACACTTGCACTGTCAAGCTGATCCATTTCGTGACGGAGATGAATCAGCTTTTTTCAGCCAAGTGCTGCCGAACATCAAAGGCACTGAGTTTGTCTCAGGCGCCTGTGTCGTCTCTGGCAAGTTGGATGCTTGCCCATGCGTCCGTTTCCCCAACTGGAAACCTTTAGTCAACTCCTGGCTGAGTCACGAAGGGTGTCCCATTTCTGAGGGGATCTTGTCCACTATTGGGGGACCCCCTTGCTATCAGTTCGCTAGATTGATTAACCGGGTCAACATTTACAAACGCGGAAGCTTGTTGGAGGGTGTTGAAGGTCTATTTCCTTTTGCGTGATCCCCGTGTCCAGATCCACCATTCTTGGAAAGAGAGATTGTAGATATGTCTCAAATGGGGTTCTTCCGCATACCGGTGGTTTGCCGCTTGGTTCCCTTTAAACCAAGGTACCCTCACAAAAAGCACAAACCGTTGCATCACACCCCCCAAACATGCAGCTCCAGCTCGACCTAAGGTCGGTGCTGGCAGTCCCATCCAAAGCCGGTGCCAAAGCCTGAGCGAAGAACGCTGAACTTCTCGACTCTTGCTTAGCGAAGAACACACGTTCGTTTTTTTTTGCCCCCCCCCAAACCCACAGGAGCAAAGGAACAACCAAGGGCAAAATAAAGAAACAACCCAACAACCAAAGAAGCCAACCAACGCACCGAAGAACCGAACAAAACCGATGAACAAAGAACAGCGAGGTGAACATTTGAGCTCGCTGTCAAACATTGTGCACTTCATACACAAGGTGACCATTTTTTTCCAGTCTTCACCTGCGCTCGTCAGGCATTGTTCTTGGCATCTGGCCACACGTAATTGTCTCTGTCTGTATTGTGCGGCCACAAACTTGAGTAGACGCGAGTGCTTTTGGGATGGGTTTTTTGGGGTGATTCTATTGGCCTGGGAAATGTATGGCACTTCATGCAGCGAGTTTTAACAAAAATCAGCCGGAGAAAGTTCTGAGGACCTTAGAAGGCCTTTCTGCGAGAGCGAGCCACGTGTCTCTCCTCCAGCCCAACTCCACCTGACACATGAGCAGCTGCCAAGATGTTTTCTGACATACCCAGGAGAAACACAAATCGTGAGTTGAGCAGCATTCTTCAAGCTGAGGCGACGCAATGCTGCTATATGTGAAAGTTCCCCCGCAATGCTCTTGTACAAGAGGAGTCTACCCAAAAATCATGCACATAGGAGCTGCGGGCACCGATGCTTGCGATTGCCCCCAGCTAACCTTCATCTCGGTTGTGCTCGCATTTTCCGCATCCAAATCTGGATTGAAAAAGGCGGTCCCATCTCACCTGCACGGTTCTGAACCATCCGTGGGCCCGGCTGTGCATGCTACGGATGCGGAGAAGTTGCTGGGCCTCAGTTTTCGGCTTGAGGACAAGCCGAGTGGCAAAGCGAATACGAAGCGAGTGGCTGAACCATGTCCACTTCACGCGGGAGATTCTCAATCGGCCATGTCCCGCAGTCGGGCCATGCTACCATGCTTCAAACGCAAGACTGTGCCCTAGGATATGAGGCAGTTGGATGTCTAGAGGGAATCCAAACGCAAACCAATCACCTGCCCCTTGAGGGTTTCTCAAAATTTGGAGCCCCTGCTAGACACAGATTTTGAGAAACACCTATGTTTGGAAGCTAAAGGTCAATTTGAGGAGGTTCCCATCATTTCTCCAGCTCACTTTGCTGGCGCCACTAAAGAATTTCAGATTAACTCGCGATCCTTTACAAACCAATCAAGGCCCCATTTCACAGATCAAAAACCTAATTTGACATGCGCGGAATATGTCTTGTATGGTTCTGGTTGATCCCATGTGTTTTTTGCGGCTTAACAAGGCAAACTTCCAGGGTGTGAATATACATTCTTATGTATGCTTTGTGTGCTTTGTGGTTGAGCATAGTTGAACTGGGCCCATTAAAGCCATGAAGAAACACCGGGGTGAATCTTAAGCTCTTAAATAGAAACGGTATGTCTCAAGATAGGGGACCCCCAAAATGATTGGCGTTCCTTTGTAGTCCATTTAAACCAAGCAAAAAAAGGGTACCCTCAGAAACACGCAATTACACATACGCGCACCCATACAGAGACCAGGTTGGATGCATTGCATTGATTTGCCGCTTTTCAGCCCCTTTGTATTGGTTGATACAAGGAGACCCTTCCCCCCCAAACAAAAAGGGGGACGCAACGACCACGGCACTTTGTTTTTGACAGTTCCCCAAGAGAAGCCGACACGAAGGGAGCAAGGATGAGCACCCGGTGTTAAAACCCGGTTCTGGTAGGGTACATTCCAAGCCACTTTTGCTACCATTACTTAAGCGCCATAAACAAAATGAACATATGTTCAGCAGTGATAGATTCCCTTCAACACCAACAGGCGTTAAAAAGCAGACATACAAAACAGACATACAAGTTCAATTGAAAGCAACAAACCACCAGGGGAAAATCAACCCCTGGAAAAAATGAACATATTGCCAGTAGTGAAACCGAAAGCGGAAAACACATAAATCAGACATACAAATCCCTTTGAAACCAACAAACCAGGCGAAAAGTCAACCCCTGGAAACAATGAACATATTTCCAGTAGTGAGAGATTCCCTTTGAAACCAAAAGCGAAAACACGCAAATCAGACATACAAATCCCTTTGACACCAACAAACCAGGGGAAAAATCAACCCCTGGAAAACAATGAACATATTTCCAGTAGAGAGATTTCCTTTGAAACCAAAAGCGGGAAACACACAAATCAGACATACAAATCCCTTTGAAACCAACAAACCAGGCGAAAAGTCAACCCCTGGAAACAAAATGAACATAGTTCCAGTAGTGAGAGATTCCCTTTGAAACCAAAAGCGGAAACCACGCAAATCAGACATACAAATCCTTTTGAAACCAACAAACCAGGGGAAAAGTCAACCCCTGGAAAAAAAAGAACATATTTCCAGTAGTGAGCGATTCCCTTTGAAACCAAAAGCGGAAAACACGCAAATCAGACATACAAATCCCTTTGAAACCAACAAACCAGGGGAAGAGTCAACCCCTGGAAAAAAATGAACATATTTCCAGTAGTGAGAGATTCCCTTTGAAACCAAAAGCGGAAAACACACAAATCAGACATACAAATCCCATTGAAACCAACAAATCAGGGGAAGAGTCAACCCCTGGGAAAAACAATGAACATATTTCCAGTAGTGAGAGATTCCCTTTGAAACCAAAAGCGGAAAACACACAAATCAGACATACAAATCCCTTTGAAACCAACAAACCAGGCGAAAAGTCAACCCCTGGGAAAAAAATGAACATATTTCCAGTAGTGAGAGATTCCCTTTGAAACCAAAAGCGGAAAACACACAAATCAGACATACAAATCCCTTTGAAACCAACAAACCAGGGGAAAAGTCAACCCCTTTTCATTTCAGCCAATGGGACGTACCCCACTTCTCCGAGCTGCGTGGAGGTGGATGCAAGGCCCAGCGTGCTGGGTGAGAGCCTCAGATCGATACAGCCAGAAACCACCGGAGAAGTGGCCCGCCGGTGTGTTTGGGTAACATGGGAAGAATGGGGAAAAACTCGGGTGTTGGGTGGTAAAGCTCGCAGAATCCCCGGCGAAAAAAACGGGGGCTCCGACTTTTCGAGCTCGTTTTGGATGGGGAACGTTCGAAAAAGAAGAGAAAACACCTGAAATCGCTATGTGAGGTACAAACAATGCTGTTTGTGGGCGGAACACAAACAAATTGAGTGAACACAGGAACTGGGTGGAAACCCGCACGTCCGCTACAATTAAGCAATAACTTGGTCAGTTGTTAGTTGACCTGGAGTCAGAATCAGGCGGAACTTCAAAAGGGTGTAAGCCTTCTCACGTCTACACAAGCTCGCCTCCAAATAGCACGTGCTGACACAAGGCACCCTAGGAAGGTTGTCCGTCCGCATCGTGCGCAGAACAAGGCACTGAGTAGTACTGGAGTAACTCACTTCCTGAGTGGATTGGTCAGAAACAGTCCAACTTTTACTTGCTTCCAAACTGTTCTTCTCAAAAAGCATAAAGTCCAGGAACTCAGGAAGTGAGGTAAAAACCTGAATGTAAAAAAGTGCGCCAGTCTGCCCTTGCAAAGACTATGTGGAGGTGTCGAATGTTGACCCAGCATGGCATTCTCGCAAAGGCAGCGCCACTTGCTGAACTGCTCGAAACACGTGCGTTGCCCCAATTTCTCTCCAACCAAACGTACATTAGCCCATCAGTACAATCCGTCTTAAGTGCTCGCACAAAAACTTTGTACTTCGCAAGAAATGCTCCCCACCATGAAGCACCACTCAACATTGCGCATGCTGAAATGAACTGCACAGTGCGTTGTTTTTGTCAAGCTGGCAATGTCCGTCTGGCAACGAAAGACAGGAACGCGCCAAACAGCTCACTTACTGCAACTTTCTAATTGGGGTGTGGCTCAAAATTAAGTGCCCAGAAAGCATCTTGTGATTTATTTTTTCAATAATCAAACTGGGGCTTTGGGGGGGGTATTAATCCGATATCAACATTACTACCCCCCTTTTGGCGGGTTTAAGTGAAAAGGAACAGGAAAGCAACCATTTGGGGGGTTCCCCGAACAAAGACAACGCCGCACCTGGGGGGGGGCCTGTCAAAAATATGGCCGCTATTTTAAAGGCACCCTGGTGCTGCAGGAGCCGCCTTACTGTACGTGGATACCAAAAAGGGTTCATGTCTTTGACAACCCGCACGGTTCTGGAAAAACAAGCCCCGAACTCCGTGATGCCAAAAAGGACCCCTTTTCCCCCCACCAAAAAAACACCTACTTGGTCATTGCAATTGGCCCCCCCCCCCATGGCTACTCGGTCATCACAATTTCGCTTCGCTTGGTAGAGAACGAAGCTCTTTCCCGCCCGCTGTCCGAGCGGCTCCACATGGATGCCGGAGCCGTTGAACACCAGCTGCCTAACAAGGCACGCGTCCCATTCGAAGGGGGGGGGTGTCTGGAGATCACGTTTTTAGGGGACACTGGGGACCCACCCCCCCTATAAATCCACCAGTGTCGACATGTTCGAAGAAAGCCACGTGTTTCCAAAGTCGAAGTGAGGGTAGGCCTCTTTTTCGAGGGTAGTTGTCCCTTTCTTGGGGTGGTTTTAAAACGGGAACAGGGAACCCACCAATTTTGAGGGTTCCTCATTTTGTCTAGACAAACCCAAGGGGCCATCTGGTTACGCCGGTTCTGCCAGCCACCTTCAGTTCTGATCTGGTTCGGTGAGCTCCTGCAGAGGCGCCCAATCTCAAAATGGGAGACCATTAAAAAAGGGAAAGAACAACAGTAAACACACAAAAACGACACAAACAACAAGTGGGCCCCCTTTGGTTTCGGGGCCTAAGCAAGGGTCTCACAATGGATCCACCCCAAATGCAAGATGTCGAGCTGACCTTCAGGTGTGAAGGCTGATAGATGTTAAAGTAAGGCCATACCTGCAGCTACAACATCCACACAAACTTTAAACTTTCAATCCCCCCGGTCCCCCAGTGGATTTTCTGCGGGAAACAAGACCTGAACCTCTTCGGTTGACTTAACAAGTTTTGCAAGACATGTAAACCCTGGAAACGCTTTTTGGATTTTACCAAAAAACACACGCCAACACAAAACACAAAACAACAAAACACAAAACAACAAAACACAAAACAACAAAACACAACAACAAAACAAACCAACAAAACAACCAAAACACACGCCAGCGGTTTGTTTCGACGGCTGGGCGCCTGCTCTCCGTGCCGCAGCTCAACTCTTTGCAGCTGGCGCTCGCCGAGAAGGCGCCGCGCGCGCAGCTCGCGGTCACCGTGCCCTCGTACCTCGGTAGAAAGCCGGCAGGGGACAACTTGAACACGTCTGTATGTATAGAATGGAATGGAATGGAATGGAATGGCATGGTATGGCATGGCATGGTATGTGTGGTTTGGCATGGTATGGCATGGCATGGCGTGTATGCCATGTATGGTATGGCATGGTATGGCATGGAATGAACGGCATGTATGTTATTTATATTCTGTTTTGTCATGGCATGTTCTGGTATGTTGGGGTATGTTATGGTATGTTCTGGTATGTATGCTATGGTATGTCTGTCTGTCTGTCTGTCCGTATTTACACTTACGCTTAACAGATTAGTGATCTCTTTTGAACTATCTCTCTACACAGTCATTTGTCGCTGACCCTTACTTTCACAAACTGGTGGCGCACACGGATATGGTGTCCTTTTTGAGGGCACTACTTTAGAGTTGCTTCAAAGGGACACGAAAAGGAATCTAGCAACCCCACGTTTGGCACTGGCGCCAGCACTGGGTCACTCGGTGTCGAAATCCGCGCACGGCAATGTCCAAGACGCTCCACCTCGCTGCCCCGCCCAACAGTCTTTGGGAGACTCAGAGGCCCAACGCCTGGGGTCCATTTGTGGGGCAACATTAAGCACCAGGCAACCGCGGGGTTTTGTCCTTGGTTCCATTTACAAGGGTTCCATTTTGGGTACCTTTTTTTTTGACCCGCAACCATTTCCCCATGAAGACTTGTCCGAATGACTTCTGCTTCACCGAAACCCAAACTAGTTCATCCATTTATCTGCTGAATCCGCCAAGCGGAAGAGAGATTGTCACTATGCACAACCAAAACGTCAAAGGCGCTTGCCCCTAGTTTTGGCTCCTCAGGGTCCATTCCAGTGACTTCCCAAGTTTCGAGTGCACAGCTGAAACGCCGAGGGCCCAGACTTCGGACCTCCACATTGGCCTGCACCTGGAAGAAGCGAGACCCAACCTGGCGTCACAAGGGCCATGTCAAAACACAGAAAATCTGTGCAAGAACTTCGACACTTGAGCCCCCAAAAGTGGAATTTGAAGGTCAAACACAAAGCTTGAAGGTCAGCCAAAATGCGGGATTTGGTCAAACCAAAGTTTAGAGAATGCAGACCTTGTGATTCTAACTCTGGAGCCACCAAAATGCCTTCAGCCCTGCTTGACCTTCAGCCCGGTTTGAGTCTGCAACCCGGGCACCCGCACACAAACAGAGCTGCGTGCTTCCCAGAATAGGAATCGAATTCCAACCAATGGTGTCTACTTCGACTTCCACAGGGGATGCATGATTTGTGGCATGCTCCCGGCCCACACCATGAGCGCAAAACAACCGAAGCGCCGGCGACCAGAAGTGTTCTTATCGGACATGCTGCTAAAAGTTGACATGGCCTTCACTTCGAGCCCCATTCAACCCGAGTTTCTGCAGCCTCTCATGAAAGACGGCCCAAGGGTTTCAGGCCGGGGAACAGGCACTCTGTACCTCCCAAGTAGCTCAGGAAACTGCGCCCTGTCTTTGTTTGAGGGTTCTCCGTTTAGGCTTGCTGCAAAGTGAAATCAAAGGGCAAGAACCCATGTGCAAGATTCCCCAAACAAGCCCGCATTGAGACCTCTCACAATCATCGCCCAAACGTCGACTCCCCCCGTTTTGGACATGGTTTGTCAAGACAGGTTTGGTCCTTCATGCTTGCTCGCATGTTTGGGCAGGATTTGTGGGCCTGTGTTAGAATCAACAACATTGGTGGGGTTCAATTCTTGTTTTTTCAAACAAATTTTCTGCCACTTTGGTCTCTCAGAAAATGCAGATGGTCTCCCAGAACCTCAGAAAAAAAAGCACATGCTAGCGGGAGGGAGTGCACCCCATCTGCGCCGCTCTTTTGCAAGCTAATATGGGCGGAGGCAGCAAAGCTTTTGTTTGGGGCTTGCTTTAGGGCTTTGGTTCAGGATTTTGGTTTGGGTTAGGGGATTAGGATGCGGTTGAGTTTGCTTTGAGTTTAGTCTTTCGGGTTCAAGGCTGCTGTGTGTGTGTGTGTGGCTGCAATCTTCTATTCGAGCGCCTGGCTTTGTCCGAACGCCTGCATCAGCCGCCTTTGGCTTTCGATGTGCCCACAGCTTGAAGCTGAGGGTGACCTGTCCCTTTCTGTCACGCCCTTAGCCCGCCAGCGCGCCGCTTTCCTCCGCGTCACAGGGCCGTGCGTTGCTTGCAGTGGTGGCCCGACACGGGTTCCACGCGAAAGCAATCACCACGCAAAGGAAAACCACCATTTGATGGTTGACCAACTTGACATTTCCATCAAACAAACAAAAGACGCGCGGTATTAAATATTAAGTGTCGACCTCGCGAAAGTCCGCAGAGGGTTCCGCGAGCGAAATAGAGATGGTTTTCTCGAAAAAGCGTGAACTTTTGCGGGTCGTTTCTACTAAGTGCGCAGAAGATTCGCTGTTGCGGAACAGTCCGCGCAGGGGCCGTCTCCAGGACCGCTCCGAGACCGCGTCGCGACAGAGCTGGTTGCACACATGGCTAAACAATTTTCAGCTTTTGGATATTATATATATATGCATACATAATATCTATAAATAAAAATAAGTGTACATGTTTTACTTTTATTTTAAATAATACACACACACACACAAATGCAAACATGTTCATCATCAGAGAAGCACAAGTAGCGTGAGCGCATATCAATTTTGGAGGACCCCACCCCTCAAAACAGGCTGTTCCCTTCTGCCGCGATTCACCCCCTACCCTCCACAAAAAAGATCGACCTGCTTGCAAACTGCTGTTAAGAATCAGTACAACGAAATAGTTTGAGGGTCCAGGTGCCCATTCAGACCCCGTCAAACTGGGGGGGCACCCTCAAAAGGTTGTTTCCCTTCGGACTAATGCCCCCCCCCAACAAGAAGCAAGGAAAAAGGACAGTAAATCAGGCATATGCAAACTAAAACAACCACAAGAGGGCACCTTTGGCCCCCGCTTTCCTTTTGTTACTTCTTCTTGAAAACCCCAACCAAAAACCGCACGACACTACCCCTCTTGGCCCGCCTGAATCTCTGTGGAGGAGCCTGCCGTGCAGTTCTCAGGCCTCAGACTGATTTCGCGCGGAGCCGAGCCTGGCAAATCCGCGGCCCCGGCTTTGGTTCTGGGAACGGAGTGGTTGTTTCTGAAACTTGGGGTGGATCCTTTTGGGCTGAAAATTGGGGGGGGGGGATTTTGGGGACCTCAAACTTGGGGCCGGGCGGGATTTTGGGGACTTCAAAATTGGGGATGACCCCGAATCAACCACAAGTACGGCTTGCTGCTTTTGGCTTGCTTTTAAAGCCAGCGATGCCCCGCCGGAAAGGCACCATTCATATGTCAGAGCGCTCGTTGCACGGAATGGTGAAGGCTTCCTTTGGGATGCTTGTAAGAAACTCCCATATCGGGTCCCACTGGCTTCTCATGTAACTTGTCGCATTCGATGCTGTCTGAATCAACATTCCAGGTTTCGCAAACAAGTAGGACAGGGGTTGGAGTGGCATGATTGCCTCCTGCTTCAGCATGCAAAGACACGGCAAAAATGCAGGTAAGCCTGACTGCTGGCTATCAGGGGTCTATTGACCTGCCTTATCAATGTTGGCAATTCGTTTTGCTTTTGATTCCAGCGACAAACACGGCAACCCAAACAAGACGCACCTGCATCACCATCAACCTGTGCTGCCGGTAACCGGTTCCAAAGCTTCTCTCTTTGCGCCGAAGCACCGAACCAAACCGGGCGTGTGGCCTTGTGGCTACAATCTTCTGGGGCCATTTTCTAAGCTTCCCGTCCCATGGCTATGGAAGCTCCGTGGCACCGGACAGACAGCTGCTGGTGTCCACACCTGGCATGGCATAGGACTACCAGCTCTCATGACCTAAGGCCAGAGCTCTCCAAAGGTCAGCGACCAGCCTACCTCACACTGCACATGTCCAATCCCAGACAGAAAAAACATGTAAAAGCAAGTGCGTGCAAAGCAGATCAAGCTACTTGTCTTCCAGCGTGCCAGTCATTTGCGAGTGGCAGCTTGAGAAGCATGCCCGTAGACCAACACAAGAGTGCAACAACAAGCAACATGGTGTCTCGGCTTCGTCTGCCACTAGTTGTACCCCAGTCTTCTTAGATCGTTGCCCGATTCGAATGTTTCCGTGACTGTGGCAAGCAAAGCAATGTGCAAACTGGGGGTCGCTGCTTCCCTACTTGATTTTAAGAGGATCTCATGCCTTGATTTTGCGTCCGGCTGCGAACCCTTGGCATGAGCCAGCGAATGCTCTCGATAGGGCCAGGCGGATTTGTCATCGCTATGTGCCCACCATAGATCCTTCTCGTCGCCAATCATTTGGACATGCGTCATGCAATGTAATATATATATATATATATGTATATATATATATATTTCAACCACACTGAAAAAGTTACGCCATGGTCAACACTGGGGGCCCTAAATGGAATATTGATCAACAGCCCCTTGTGGGTGTGGCTCAAAATTAAAGAGGTAGGGTTACCCATGCTAGGGTTACACATGCTCTAGTCTTTGGTTCCATTTACCAAGGTCCCATTTTGGTGCACTTTTTTGAGCCACAGCCATATAAGGCTGCACATCTTAGGTGTGGGATTGAAGAGTTAAGTATGGTTTCCGGAAAAAAAAGAAAGGTTACCCTACCCACCAAAAAACCGGCTCCCCCAAAAAGGGGCAGCTGGTGATTTTCTGGTCCAAACTCCGAGCTCACAAGCTCGCCAGCAGTGCTCCACACGCCCTGGGTGCAGCTGGCCACCGCGTCACCCGTGAAGCCGCTGAAGTTCTGAGGCGAAAATTTACGAAGACGCGTGGGATCTTTGTCATGGACCAGCGCCTTTTTTTTTTATTATTCTTGTTTGTTTTTTTTCTTTTTATTCATTTGTTTTTTTGTGGGGGTTTTATAGTTTTTTTTTTCTTCTTCATTTTTTGGTGGGGGGAGGGGTTACTGGAGTTCTGTCTTTTTTCCTTTTTGTGTGGGGGGGTTACTTGTTTTTTTTTGGGCGGGGGGTTTTACTGGATTTCCTTTGGTCTTTACAGGAACCGAAAGGAAGCCCAAAAAACGAAACCGACAAAGGCCATCGAAAAGGACACCCAACAGGATATAAAACATTTCTTTAAGACCCCTGTTTTGAGAAACGCCCATTTTTCAGCCACCGTCAAATTCAAAAAAAACTTGGGAAATTAGAGCTGGTCCCCTGGCTTGTGTGGACAATTTTTCGATTGGGCTTGTCTCTAAATAATGGAACCCGCAAAGCAACTCCAAAAAATGCACACCCGCGACCCATCATACCCCTCCAAACAACAGACACCCATCTGATGGTTGACGTTGGAAGGGGAGTAACACATATTAAGTCTTAGCAGTTAAGTGGTTGGATTTCAACCACTAAGACACAATAAGATCAAACATGGGAAACATGTTTCCCAACAACAACCATGCCATACCCGGGGGACATCAAAGCCAAATCAGTAAGAGGACGTGCCGAATTTATTTAGGCCCTTATGTCCTGATTCCCAGCTTATTGGTTAATCAAGCACTACTTGTGGCTTCATCCAGCCAAGAGCCCCCAAATGGCCGAGGGGTTCATATGGGTTGCCAACGCGACTCTCCCACATGGCTTACAGCAATTTCGTCTTCACGTACCTATTCGGTTCTTTGGGGGGAATGCCCTCTTTCTAAACTCGAGTTTTTGTTTTGACACCTTTGAGAGTGTTCCTCTTGGGGCTACTCGTGTGGCAAATCACACTGTTGGTGCCCATCCCGACATCACTTAGGTTTCCCCTGGTATCCGCAACCCCCCGGGTAGCCGACGTCATGTTGGAAGCCACTTGATAGCCCTTCGGCGCTTGCTGGTCAGGGAATCAACAGGGGATGGAAACAACAAGGGATGTTTCGTAGGGCGCCTTCCCTCCTTCCCTGCGGAACCAGCGAGTTTACGAGCCAGCCATCATCTTCCGCGCCTGGCAAGGCAATGCTTCTGTCTGACCCTCCGCCAGGGCGCTATGATAGACCTGGCGCGTGGGCAAGTCTCATTCGGGAAGAAACGAATCTGCGAGGCTGAGACCTGAGCGATCACTTGGCATTTGGCAGCGGTGCAAATGACAGTGGGTCAAAATTAAACCACCAGGGGACCGCAGGTTTTAGTGCTTGGTTCCATTTTGGGCACCTATTTTTGACCCACTGCCAAATGATGCGACAGCCCAAAGCAGCCCATGACGATGGCTCTAAGGCGGGCGGGGCATTTCACAAGCCAAAAGAGTCATCTCTGCGCGAGTGGTTGGAACCGGATTTCGGACAGGACCGGCACCACCCTCCCGAGCGCAAAGCCCTGCGGCCAAATGCTTGCAGGTGTCCTGTGTACCCCAGGTGCTAGGAGGTGTCAACTCAAATTGGGCTGCCTTTTGCATGGGGCCTCTCAAGCAGGAATTGGATCCCCCACACTAGATGACTTCCCAACTGTGCTTCGTTCGAAAACAGGTCTGCTCATCAAAGAGCGAGTACTCAAACACATGGATGTGCTGCTTGTTGGAGAAACTTCATCTCGCTTGGTTTTGAATGGCAGCTATACACTCCGACGACCATTTTGAGGGGTCCCGTCATTTTGAGACACCCACAAAAACCGAGCCGTTCGGTCAATGCTCAACCCTAGACTAAGGCTTCAAATCTGCTCTGCCATCTATCAGTTCAGTACAGGCAAATATGTAACATGCTCAACATTCACCCAGTAGGGTGGGCTTTGAACCTTTTTTGCGGAAACAACGGGTCCCTTGCTCTTGAGGGTTTGTACATGTTAAGGAGGCCGCTTTAACCCCCCCCGCCAAATTCTGTTTAAGGCCGTCCCACGTAAGGTTTGTGGCGGCCACACAAGTACATGTGGGTTTCTACAACCAAAAGGCAGCTCACCAGACCTTGGGAGTTCTGGGCTACATCTTCTTTTTTGCAGATGCTGCTGCGCTTTTAGTGAACCCGAGAATGCAGAACGAGCTTGAAGGACCCCGGAAGGTAAGAAGCGCAGGTCGCACCGTCCAAAGCTCCTGCAGCTGGGCAGGGAAGCCTCGGCAATCGCAAGGCCAGAAGGACATTGGTGGATATGAATCCCCACCTGAATAATGTCACAATGTCGAACTCACACCAATATCAACACCTGGCCGTGGGTCCAAAATTGGGTAGCCCCAAAATGGGTTGCCCTGGTAAATGGAAGCATGGACCAAACTTGCGGTCCATTTCCTGGTGGCTTAATTGACCCATACCCATTTTAGTGGTTGGATTAAATCGGATGTTCACTGGGGGCACGGGCTTCCCATGGCCACCGGACCTTCCCCCGCGATCGCTCGCTCGTTTTTCAGGCCGCTGAAAAGCGGATCCCTGAGATGAACCTCACTGGCCTCGGATCCCCCCCCCCCTTTTTGCTGGGCTTTCGGGCGACCACTGCAGCTCTGAACGCAAGTGCCGCTGCAGCTGCAGGAGGAGGTACTGGCGTACCTCCACATGTCCACATGCTGCTTCGGTACACGCCCTCCGAATGACTTCTTCGTCTTCACAAGGGGACAGCCTTGTTTGTTTTCCGGGTTGAGACATCACTTCACATCGGAGTCCGGCACCAGCCGCTTCCCACAAGCCGTCCCAGTGATATGTTCAGCAAAACCTGATATTTGGGCGCCCTTGCTGCTTGGAACGAAACACATGTCATTGAGGTCCGGTAGACCTTTCTTACAATCGGGGGCTAAGATTAGTGCTCAGTTCTCCGTTCGAAAAAATGGATTCCCTCTTCTCGTCAAATTCGCTTCCTCAGCCTGGCGACCTCTCAGCCGTTTTGTCGGGTCACAGCTTCTGGTCCACGCACACCAGCTGGCCCTGGCCGCTGTAGTCAGGGCCTCAGACGAACTCGACGAAAGGGGAACACCAGAGAAGGTCTCAAGGGAGCTTCTCGACGTGGCCGCCCTTTTGGCTTGGTTGAAGGGAAACCAAGAGTTAAAAGGACACCCTCTGGCCATTTTGAGGGGTCTACTTTGAGAACATACGGGGCCTCTAGATGTGAACTTGAATACTTCAGCAAGCTGAAATACGGCACGCAAACATCTTCATGACTTTTCGGCCCTTTTTTGTGCCCACATGGTTCCAAACACCCAGGGCAAGGTTGCTCACAGAGAGGGGTGTTCGTGGGAGAGAAGCTTCACGCCAGAAAGAAGACCCTGAAAGCAGGGATCAAGTCAAGGATCATGGTGAGCTCGTCCCCCCCCCCCCCCAGACCGCCTGACCGCCATAAACTTGACTGAGCGCGAGATCCTGGGCCTAAAGTCATATGCGTCTCTGTTTTAAGGAGAGGGGTCACCACCAACCAGCTTCAAAAAAGGGTGTGAGAGTTGATCCTCAAAACCCTCAAAACCCTCAAAACAAGGCACCATTGGGAGCAAAGGGTGTGAGAGTTGATCCTCAAAACAAGACACCATTGGAATCTGCTGCACTCAGGTCTCGGCTCGCATCCGCGCAATCAAAGCTCTCGGTACCACCCGCTGCCAGGCCTGCCTGTAGGCTGATTGCCTGGTCAATTGAGAGACGAGGCGCGGAGTTGCGGGGTTTAGTTCCGCAAGGTGAAATCCTCACCAGGCTCGACCAGGTCAACATTTTCTGGTTGATCAAGCTGGTTGTTGGCTTGGCATGCTTGGCCTTTTGGTTGGTTCTCCTTGGCTCTTTGGTTTTGGGTGGTCCAAGCTTGCTCTTTGAAGATTGAGGGTTTTGAGCATGAACTGGAAGGGGATCCCTTTCAAGGAAGCTAAAAGGATGCCTCCTGTGGGTCACGCCCTCATTCCCTGAGAGCCAGCAAAAAAGAGGCCCTCTGCTGTCAGAAAGTGACACTCACTTCCGAGTCATGCTTGGCAGGGAAACAGGCGTTTTCCCAAATTGCTAGAAGGCTAAAGGTCAGTTTTCCCTGTCCATCGGCTTCTGCATGGGCTATCAAATGCACCATGGTGTTTGAATGACATTGAACATGCGGCTTACCGCACCCGCTTCAATTTTGTGTGCTAAACTCAAGGTTCCACTTACCGTCCTTGCCCCAAGCAAGTTTGAGTCATAACGAGCAACCGTCCAGTCCAAGTCTACTAAACTATGCTCGGATCCAAGATGGCTACTGCAGCACACGCCGTGGCGCGAAAACAAATGAGGGTGTCTAGTTTCGACACAAACGTGTATATGAATGTATGTATGTATATATATATATATATGCATGGGTTTGCCCCAAACAACGAACCTTTACAGCAAAAAGGTGCGGTTTCTGTGGTTTCCTTTCAACACCGAAGGGATTTTTGTTTTTGGGCTATTCTGAGGACCCAAAGGCCATTTTGCGGGCCACAAACCCAAATCTCTGGTGGACCCCATCCGGCCTGTGCGCTGGTTCCCAGCCGGGCAAAGGCGGCACTGGGCACGTCGCAGGTGTTCAAGTAGCAGCTGCCCAGGTCGAGGCTGTATGCCTGGATCCACGCGGATGTTCTGCCCCTCTTGCTCAACAAGCTGGTCCTTGAATTTCCCAACCAAGCACTGCGCCCGATGGATTTTGGCACATGAGAGAACAATGTTGACTGTTGACCCACCTTTTGAGAAGGAGCTTGGTTTATCGCGTCTTCTCCGCAAACGGAACATCCAGAAGTTGGCCGCTAGCCCCCTCCCATCTCCACGAGGCGTCAAATAGTCCTTCGGCTGCCGGACCCAGCCAGATTTCTCCAGGGACATTCCCCGAAATGGGTTTGCATGCTATTGCAGCCCTGCGACGGTCCTCTTTGGAAGATCCTAAACGCTTCGAACAAATGGGCCCCTTGGAAGCTTCAAACGCAACACGCCCTGTTGGCACACTTGCAAGCCGGAGCTGTTAGTTAGAACCCATTTTATTTGGGGTACCCTGAGTTCAATACTACTTGGACACCATCTCCTTGTGCCAGCGGGGTAGAAATGGACAATGCAAGGAATGTTTCTGAATGGTTGGTTTGTTCTAGTCTCCCTGCCAAGTGGACCAAGAGGTCTTTAGGTTTTGGCGCATGCGCACGTAGCCTACAAAGGGGAAGCCAAATCGTGGTGAATGGTTCGCTTCCTTCCGTCTCCCTGCAAGCATCGAACAGCGCGTCTATTTCAGTCAGGGCTGTCTGTTGTAAATGTCTTTCTGGCGGTGTATGCATGTGTGCATTTTCCAGCCTCCACCGCCCTTCCGCGCCAAAACAACGGGGCGAAAACACGTTTGTCTTTGAACACAGGCGTTCTCTAGCATTGCATGTGTGTGTGTGTGTGTGTGTGTGTGTCAGTGTCGATGACAGTGTCAGTGTCAGTGTCTGCGTGCTTGTACTTTCGTTCTTGCATTTCAGTTTTGAGAGGGGAACCTCCCGTAGCCCTTGTTGAGGGGTTCCATAGACCTCCCAGCCTTTCTAAGGGGGACCCCTAACTTGGCTCACCAGGGCAAGCACAAAATAAGATGCTCTGACTCTGCTCCGTATTTAGTCTATCCTATAACATACAAAACCCATTGAGGAGACCCCAGCCAGCCCTTCCCCCAAAACAATCATATCATCATATATATATATATACACATATGCTTGAATTTCTATATATATATATATATACATACATATACATATATACATATGTACACTACATCTTACTCCCCGCGTTCCGGCAACCCGTGCCAACCACCCGGCGACTAAAGCCGACAGCTCTGGGCTCCGTTGGCATCTCTGGGCGCCCAGACAGCCGCCAGGCACGACACGCTGAACCTCGGCGCACCGAGCCCCAAGCCCTCAAGCCCTGAGCCCCGAGGACGCCTGGCGCAATTTTGGTGGCTGTTTCTGCAGTGACTGGGAGGCCTTGCTGGTGCGATGGGTAGGGAATGGGGTTGAATGAACGCAGGGGTCCACTTAAAGGAAACCACCAGTTGGATGGTTTATAAGGGTCATTTCCTCATTCCCTACTGAGCACCAAGGGGCTGCAGCAGTGAATCTTCAGCTTAAATGCCCCAAAGTGACTTGGGGATTTGCTCACAACCTCAGTTTTCTTGGGAATATGAGCTTTATCCCGATTTTCCACTTGTGATTTGCGGCACCCTTTGACACAGCGGAGCCTCTTTTGAAGCCCCCTCAATAAAAGCGGAGACCTGAGGGGTTCTGGCACCAAATCGGGGGAACCCGCTTTCGTCTCTTCAAGTGTCTCAGAGAGATAGAGACCTGAGGGCCCCTCTTTGCAGAGTGCTTGAAGGGCAACCAAAGCCCGCACTTGTCCAATGGTATGTTTTGCTTCCATCGTTTCACGACAGCTCAGAGCTTTCCGACCGTGAGATCGTCTCCTTCTGAAGGCAAGCTGTTGAAGTTTGCTTCAGGGGAATGCAAATACCCATTCCTTTGTGCTCCGTACCCCATTTGCAGAACCGCCCCGCATGAGGTTGTCTCAAAATGGGAACAAGCAACAAAATGAGTGGTTTCTTCTTCTTCTTTTTCCTGGGCTTAACGCAACCCCTACAAAGGACATAAGGCACCAACTCCAAAAAATATATGCACACACACACACACACAGCTTCGCTGGGCTTTCGGCGTGCCGATCAGCCGATCGTCGAAGAGGCTACAGGCGCCGGTGCCCTGGTCGGGCGGCACCGAATTTCTCACACCTTCTTGGGGTTTGATCCAATCTGTGCAGCGTTGTGCGCATAGGTGGCCTTTTGGACAAATGGGGCACAAAGCCCATCTAAACCAGTGGAACCCATCTATCTTTAACCAGGCTCAGCTAAAAAGGACACCTATGCTTGTGGGATGGGGTTTCTCCCCACTTCACTGGGCCCGTTTTCAGATCCGCTAAAAGTGACTAACCTTTAGTTGGTCAAATGGAACCCACCACTAAACACTAAAAGGATCTAAAAAGCTAAGGAACCGGACTGGGAGCCACCAAGCTCAGTGATACAATCTCTGGCTCCATGTGCTTGCCACGAGGTTTGCGGCGGCCACGGCGAACAACAGGACGGGGCGGCAGTCTGGGGAAACAGCTACAGCGTTGTCCCCACTTCTGTGATATGGACTCCCCTCTTTATGGGGCAGGAGGGGATAGTATGGGATCAACCTCCATTTGCTTACTCGTCCCCTGTTTTTTTTTCTTCTTCTTTTTTTTCTTTTCCCTTCCCAGTAGTGAAATCGATTCCCTTTAAAACCAGGAGACAATAAACAAATATTCTGAACCAAATGGAAGTCCAGGGGTTTCTCCCACTTCTGTGATACAAGGGAACCCCCTCTTTATATGAGGGGTTAGTCTTTGGGAGGCCCTTTTTGTTGTATCACAGAAGTGGTCAATTCCCACAGCCCTGAATCTGTGGCTTCAACATGTTTTCCCTCCCACCCTTTTTCACCTGGAACTTGACGTTCGGGTCCTGTTTTGGATCATTCTCTTTTGAAAGGGACCATTTTGTGAACGCCGAACGGTTCCATGTTTGGGGTCAGCGTAAACAGCGTCAACAACCTCCTGGCTTTTGAGAGACCCAAGGCTGGACAAACTTCGCCCAGAAGATCCTGAGGCTCCAGTCACATCTGTTCACTCTGGTTGGTCGGAGCCACGACAAGCAGTCTGTCGCATGTCAACTTCCGCCTGGGAACATTCGCAAAGCACAGCCCCGCCAAAACTCAAGAGAACCAGCAGCAACAAAAGCAAAGCAAACACACAACACATCCCAAGAATCCTGAAGTCAAGGACTTGTGTTCTCTGTTTCAAAACCTGGTATTCAAGTCGTCTACCCGAATCAAACACAAGGGTATGGCTCGAAAAACCGGAATTTCAACATGGGTTGCCCTGGTAAGTGGAATGGACCAACAAAAAGACCCACGTATTTTTTGTTGGGCTCCTGAATTTTGAATGCCACTGCCGCATGTGTCCTTCGAGCTCTTGCAACGAGGTCCGTCTTCCTTTCGGCTTCCCTGGCGCCTGGAACCCGCTGGGTGCCGGAGAGCTACTGCCTGCGTTACGGACCGCCGTGGAGGGCAACCGGTCCGAGTTTTATGGGGCAGACTCAAATGGCAGCCCTTGAAGTCCGGATTTCTAGGGCTTCGTAGACTCATAAGGCACCACCATGCCCAATGTTTTTGGTTGGGTTTGACTTGTTTGTGTACTGAAATACGCGACTTGGGTATGAATAGGATATGGACTGCACACATGGGCGGTCCTTTTGGTTTCCCTTTGAAGGCCAAAAGGGCACCGCCCAACAAAACACATGTGTTGCTTGTGGTTTTTTTGTTTGGGGGGTAGGGGGGGGGTTCAAAATATGTCCCCTTTAAAGAGTCTGTGTTGCCGCAACAGGAGCCTCCGTTTGGCGCGACCAAAACGGAGCCTCATTTTCACAACCCGCATCCGCCCCAAATTGGTGCACACAACTTGATGCCCGGGAGATCCTCCAAAAACACCTACACACACCACACACGATGCCAGGGATACCCTCAAAATCCCGGGGATGCCCATCTTCACAAACCCCCGGGTTGCTGGACACTTCGGTAACTTCACCTGCCTAGAGCCACGCCATTCAGGCGTGCCAGCAGCGACAGACCTCAGCCATTCTGGAGTGCGCCTTCTGTGCATTCCTCCCATTTGGCTATG